AAAAAAGAAGAAAACATAAGAAGCATAAGAACAAAAAAAAACCAAAAAAAAAATTTTAACAAACACTCAATAGCACGCCGCCGCTCTCGCCGCCCTCCAATCAGGCCCGACCGCGAGGGCGCCGGCGGTTGCTGGGCGCCGGCTTTCTCTGGGTTCGGTGGCGGCCGTCGGTTGGGAGTGGCCCGGATGTTGACCCTTTATGACTGAAGTGAACACCTGCCCAGCACCCGGGGCGGCCTGGCGACCGCGCACAGGCTGCCGGGAGCGGCGCGCCGGCCTCCGGCTGCCGGGGTCCCAGGCCCCGGGGGCGGGCCTTCCAGAGCCCAGCGCCTCCAGCGTCCCCGCCTGCCTTGAATGTGCGCATTGCATATGCGCTCCCCTCGTAATCCTGCAAAGTCGGTACTGATAAAAGCTAAGAAAGGGAAACAATTTGCCTACATTCGAACAGCTCTGAGTGCAGAGTCAGATTTAATCTAGGTCTCAAAAAGATCCAAACTTGGGGATGGGGTGGAGGGGGGTCAATGGGGAAAAACACACACAAAGGGGACATCTGTAATACCTCCAACAATAAAGATAAAATGATAATTTAAAAAAAGATCCAAACCTGTTCCACCATTCTACACTGCTTCCAGATGTTAGCCTTTTCTGTAATAACATAAGAAATGCTCACCACAGGGCCAATAAATATAAGTTCCCTCCCCTTTCAAACTTCTCAAAGTAGCAGTTTGCCTATTTTCTAACCATATTTCTAACTCTCCTGAATTCCCTGGAATCAATCATAAGGACAGATCAGATTTGTTCACTCCCAAAGAAAAAACCATGTTTAACAAATGCTTCCTGAGCCACCCACCAGTGAGCTCAGACTCAGAGCAGGAAACTACGTACGTAGGGGACAGAATGTACATGTGTTATCGGATAATTGCATGGGCTGCTCTTCTCCATTGCTAGTGGAAGTGGGGTTCTTGAGGCACCCCTGGAATAAGAATTTCCAGATGCCCCATGAAGATGAGGTGTGGTAGAAAACTTTATTTGTATGGAATTATATCGCTCATTTTCCAAAGTCCCTTTCCCCTTAAACCAGTCCTGGAAAACATGCAGGTAGGAGCCAGCAGAGCCAAAGCAAAGCCAGCGTCCAGTTTCCGTTCCATGGTGGAGCTGAGCCCGGCATAGTGTCAGGCTAAACACAGTCCATGTGTGTGGGGTCCACATGGCTGTGGGCCATGTGGTGAGCCCAAGCCAGGAGTCAGACCCCAGCAGCAAGGAGCAGGCAAGAGCACAAGAGCCCCTTTGTTTAGGAGCTTAAATATCAAATCTTCCTGCACTTGCAGTGGCCACTCCTGCAGGCCTACTCTGGCCAATGCCCTATTCCCAGGTATGACAGACAGGCAAGCACCCTCTACATCATTTAGACTTTAGTGAGCATGCCTATAATATTTGGCCTTTCTTCTGTTCCTTTCCAGTTAATTAATAACTGGGTTAAGTACAACAATATCAGATGCACAAAAGGATCAGAGAAAAAGACTAGGCAACTAGTAACACCCTCTCCTGTTATAGGGTAAGCAGAGCTGGTCTGTGGCAGCTGTACAAAACCCTTGGCTAGGAGATGAGCAACTTCCAGTTCAATCTTAAAAGTGGGCAAGGAAGAAGTTAGTGGCTTCAGGATTGGTGAAGCCAATCTTGCCTACAAGATTGTGCCATTGCTACAGATTGACCACTGAGCACCGAGATGGCACAGCACGGTAAAACACAGACTGGGGGGGACAGCCATCTATGTGGCAACAATTACAGGACATTCCCTTAAGTGCTGCTCTAGAGGCTGGCATGTCCACCCTTAGCACTTCTCCCTACAATTACCGAGGTTCATTCTGCCTCTTGGACAAAATAACACAAAGCTCCAAGGATGGAAATGGATGCCTGAGAGCAAGGATCAGCTAATGATTTCTGAAAAAAGCAAAATAGACAATATCTTAGGCTTTGTTGGGCATCCAGCCTTTGTCACAACTACTCTGGCATTATAGATAGGATAAGAACCATAGACTATATATATATGGCTAATATGCAAAGTGTCCCCTCAGGAGTTCGACTGCTCGCTATGACGTGCACTGACCACCAGGGGGCAGCGCAGAACAAAGGAAGGCCCCGGCTGGCAGCTGGAAGGAAGGCCCTGGCCAGCAGCCAGAAGGCCCCGATCAGCCCTGATCACCAGCCAGACCTAGGGACCCTACCTGTGCATGAATTTCCTGCACCGGGCCTCTAGTATGTAAATAAATGGGTATGGTTGTGTTCCAATAAAACTTTATTTTCAAAAACGGAGAGTAAAGGGCCATAGTCTGTCAAACCTTCCCTTAGTGGACTTATATTAAAGGAAACTTCTCTCCTATTGCAAAGACTCATGAAATGGGTAATCTCTCATCCCCTTCCTCTACCATCTGCCCAGGCTCTGACTAAGATAGGGCTCCCATCCATGTATAAGGAAGACTCCTGGTCATCAGTCTGGCTTTTGCTTGCCACCTCTGGGATTCCTTGCCCACTCATGAAAGGCACAAATAGGTTTCTTCCCTAATATTGTGGCTACCAAAGCTAATTATCTATCTATCTATCTATCTATCTATCTATCTATCTATCTAAAAAGCCTAAGTGACCAAATGACTGGTCACTATGACGCACACTGACCATCAGAGGGCAGATGCTCAACAAAGGAGCTGCCCCCTGGTGGTCAGTGCGCTCCCACAGCCAACCTCCAGCAACACCCTCCCCCCTCTGCCAGCCAACCTCCCGCAGCCCTAATTGCCAGCCAGGCTGAGGGACCCCGCCCGTGCATGAATTCGTGCACCAGGCCTCTGGTATAAATACAGTTTTAAAAGAACAAACAAAACAAAAAAACACTGTGAAACATTTATTTTTGTTTTGCAGTATTAAGCATGATTAAAACCAGTGCAGAAAAATACAAAGTGCATTTAGTAAGAGGTGAGTACACTGTTTCAGTATTTGCTTCTGATAATTCAGTTAAGACAAAAAATGCATAAGACAGCGTTATTAACTCAAGGATGTAGCTGAAGAGTGAGATGGCATATTCTGTATGCTCTACTGGCCTCCAAAGGCATTCAAAGGATCGTCAAATATGTTGGCCACCTTCTGTTCAGATCTTGGTTCAGGTGCTGCCTGTGAAGAGCGACTTTTTGGTTTGGTTGTCTTAGCCTGGACGCCAGAGAAGATATCATCTTTAAAAACAAAGAAAAAGAGTTGCTAAATAGGCAAAAAAAAAAAAAAAAAGAAAGAAAGAAAGAAAGAAAGAAAGAAAGAAAGAAAGAAAGAGAAAAAGAAAAAGAAAGAGAAAAAAAAAAAAAAAAGAAAGAAAGAAAGAAAGAAAGAAAGAAAGAAAGAAAGAAAGAGAAAAAGAAAAAGAAAGAGAAAGAAAGAAAAACACAAACAAAAAAAGAAAACATCTACACAAACCACCAAAGACTCAAGTCTGGTAACAGAATGGGTTACCAAAAAAACGCTACAATAGAGCCAAGCCTCTTAGATTCTGGTCTGCTACTAATTAAGTTTTATGATCACATACAAGTCACAGGTTCTCTCTGAACACTATTTTTTCAGCTATGAAGGTATATTCTTATTTTGGAAAAAAGTAAGTATTCACACCAATAACAATATCAGCATATCAGAAAGATTACAACCTAACTCTTAATAATGGCTACCTCTAGGTTTGTTTCCCACTGTTTACATTTTCTGACGAGTATTAATCTATTACAAGAGGTATGTATTACTTCTTTTGTAATATAAGTCTTTTCTGCACCCCATGGGATGGGAAGCAGGTGGAGATGGAGCTCACAGCTTGCTTGGGGAACAAACCCAGTCTGGCACTTCAGCACCAGCTTTCTACCAGTTAACTCCAAGGTTCCGTCCTGGGAGAGGGGAAGGAGTAGGAAATGTATATCTGGCCTCAGCCCAAGTTCTATTACCAACACCAAGTCATTACATTTAGGGTTATGAGGCATTTGGCTTGCCCATTAATAAAGTAGATGTTACAACATGGAGAGAAAATGAGCATATTTACAAACACAGATCTTTGACAAGATGTGAAGTCTGAGTTATAACCTGCTTTCCTATTTAGTCCTGTTTTCCTGAATTGCCCCTCTGGGCACTGATGCTCTCTCTCCACCTAGAACTCTGACTCAACAAACTGCATCACGCCCAAGGCAGCAGCCTCTGTCAACTTTGCATGTGGCTGATAATTCTGATCCTCCTTTCATAGCATCAGTGTTCAGATTTGTCACAGGTAATTGGCAGGGGGCATAGTAAGATAAAAGTTAAATTACACTTAAAGATCAAATTCTGGGCTCCTTCAAATCTTTGATGTCCATGATACCCGAAAGCTATTTCACCATTTACCTATCCATCCTCAGCCTAATTCGGGATTACACAGCAAGCCAAAGGAAACCCATCAGGAACATTTCCAGGAAAAGGCCAAGATAAAGGTAGTAGGAGAAAACCAAGTCACTGAATGGTAATAATCTCTATGTCGTGTGTAGAAAACCCAACTTACCCATGTCATCTTCAAATATAGACTTAGCTTCCACTTTCTTTTTGGACTTTTCTTTTGGTTTTACAGTTAGGTCAGCAAAGATATCAATGTTATCATCGAACAAGTTGGGTTCAAATGTCCTTTCCTTCTCTTTTGTTTTTTGTAAGGGTTTAATTGCTTCTGTAGCAAATATATCATCCTTGTTAAGGTAAAAAACAAGCAAAAATAATATTAAATCAAAAACTTTTTACTAAAAACACTCATTTCAACAAGTTGCAGAAATGCAACCTGCCAGTGTTCTGGAACAACAACATGACCTGCCTCCTAGATTTCTGCCCGGCCCAGTCCTTCTTATTCTTCTAGTCTCAGCTTAAATGCCAACTCCATAGAGAGGCCTTCTCTACCAGTCCTATCTGAAGGAGCGCTTCCCACCTATCCATCACTCTGCCCCACTACCCTAGGTTGTTCTCTATTTGACACTTAACATTATCTGTTGCCCTGTCCCAATTCCCCTCCCTGGGAGCTCTGAGGAGCAGAGCACAGGTCCTAGTTCACTGGTGTCTCCAGTACTCAGATGCTCAATGCACACCTGCCCACAGAGTGCTACTGAGGGCCTCACAGTCTGTGCTCAGTCATCAGCTAGGGCCTGCTTCCCCAAGAAACAGGTTCAACACTCAAACCGCAAATGCTGCCTTATATATGCCACAGAGTGGCATGACAAGGAAGCTGGCTGATAAAAAACAAGATCTGTATCAATGGTTATGGCCGGCCAGCAATTACCAACTGTATGAAACAAAACAAAAAACTATTTCTGAGTAAGTTTCAGAGTTATTAATAAGGGAACCTAATTATGATCACTAAGCAAGTAGGTACTGGGTAGCAACAAACAAACCTTATGTAATCTATAGCTCAAATGAGACAACTGGTATTTTCCTTCATATAGAACCAGGCATGAAAACACACTGTTATATCCTATTACCTCAAAAATATCTTGTGCTTTTGTGACGGCAGCTTGCTGACCATTGGATTTTGACTCGTTCCTCTTGCCTTTCTGATCTGGAAAGAGACAGTCCTCACCTTCCAGGAGAGGGAAGGGACTTGCTTCCTTGGCTGGTTTTGGTTTAACAGGCTGAAAGAGGTCGTCATCACTACCAGCCTCAGCCAGAGCAGGACCCGTGGGGATCTTTGCCTTACTTCCCCCAAGCAGGTTGGCGGGGCTCTCTGCTGCCTTTGCCTTGGCTTTTCTTCTTCCCGTGGGCTGAGTTTCAGTGTCCTTGGAAAAGATATCTCCAGAATCAAAAAGGTCACCCCCCAGAGGCTGACCCAGAGATTTCCCAGAGGGGCTTCTGTCCACTCCAGGCACCAGACCACCTGCCCAAGTCAAAGTGGCCACTGCCAAGACCTCCTCAGAGCCATCTTCTCCACCAGCTGCCCTGGGCTGTGGCTGATAGCCCGCTGGGGAAATGGCACCATCTGACAATTGTGCAATGGGTCCTCTGGGGACACTCATGTCCTCAGCCTCACTGGATTCCTGGGCAGCCAACCGTCGAGCTGCACGGGTCTGCGGCCTGCGCTTCCCTCTCACTTTGACCCGGCTCTGCAAGGACAAAAGACCACATGTTGATCTAGTGATAAAAGTGTCCAAAGCTAACACAGCAAATAATCAGCAACTCTACCTCAATCAAGATATTATCTAAGACACAGAAGAGGTTATTTAAGATGTCCAGAAGTTTAATGGCTCCTAGTACTCCAAAACTAAGTCATTTTCATCCTTCACTACTCCCCATTTTTTAGTCTTTTGAAGGCAATTTCTATTCAATTTCATACAAAAGGCTTCATCTGCCACTGGAACCCGAACAGAAATGTTACAGAGCTGTCAATGAGGGTGCAGCCCCAGCTGATGGCAGCTGGGAGGGGAGTAGGGGGGAGTGTATTCAGAGAACGGTGCCTGGAATGACAAGTTTAGGCAGGCAGTGTGGGGTGAGTGGTGGGGAAACTGGAAGCTCCAGTTGGCACAGACTAGAAAAGGTTTACTACCCATCTAAGGGGCTCTAATGTCCTCCTTTGGGAAGCGAGAGCCAGCAGAGGAGGGACACAGTCTGCTCTGTGCTTAGAAGACCTCCGGTAGCAATGCAAGAAAGGTGGGAGGTAGCGGATTTCGCTGTGGCTACTGAGAAGAATGTAAATGTAACAAATGCGGGCAGTAGAAAAGTGGATGCAGAATTAGGGAGGTGGAAGGAGGACAGAGGCTGAAGGAAGGATGAGGTGACTCTTCCAAATGGAAAATTGGCCTATTGCGTGTAACTGATGAACTAGAAAGAAACATACAAGTTGTTTGGCTAAGAAAAAAGCAAGCAAGCAAGCGCAGGCAGCTTCATCACCTTGTTTGCACTGTGTAAGGTGTCGGCCTGAGCTGGAACATCAAAACTCACGCCGGCCTCCCCACTCCCAGGAAGAGTGGGTACAGTTTCCAGACTCTGGATTCTCCCAGGTTCAGACGAAGGAAAAGCCAATTCTGGCAAAGCAGAATGCGTTCCAGAGATCTGGGGAGCCGCTGCAGGCAGCAGTGCTGCTGGGTTAATTGCTAAATTTGCCTGAAGAAGAAAAATAAAACTTACTCGTACATTTTCTTAAACACAGCAGTCCATTACTATTACTGTGACACATGGCGAGAGACTCAAGTGTACATAACGAATAATACGAGAGGAGAAATGCAAGTCCCTCATCAAGTCTTAGGACTAAACAGAACGTTATACACCTGTGCCCACCACTGGCCCAAAGAAAAGCTGTTACAGACGCAGCACACAAAAGCAATGACTGGAGGGTGGGGAGAGAGAACACCTGCAGCCGCTGACAAAAGTAAAAAATCAAGCAAGTGTACAGACGCCACAGGGTGGGCGATGAGGATTCCAGACATGTTATAATTACTTGTATTTTCCCGATCCGTGGGGATGGCTCTTTGGTTTTAAATGGAGCTGGACCTGGTGAGTCCTGTGTGAAATTACAGTCAGTTAAAAATCCATTGGGGAAATAGAAAGAATAGTGCCTCTTGGGTCACATTTATGCCTGTAAAGAAATCTGCGCTGGAGCTGAGCTATCGCTCTCTGTAACTCTCCAACGGGAAGGGCATTCCGATCTCTCCTGGGGCCTCACAACATTTCACTAGCATTACTTCCGTTATACCCCGTCATCCATTGAAAGTGACAGGCTGTCAGACTACATGGAGTGAAGGGAGACAGATCATGAATAAGGTGCATGAGAACTGTAGTGAACCGGAGCATCCAAACCTGACCAGTTGGCAAAATTACATGCTAGTTATCCCACACAAATACGACCAAGCACACAGAAATTCACCCACAGCCTGATGCACTGCTTCTAGGAGCACAAGAGGCTGAGACCTGGGAGGAGGCACTGGAGATGTGCTAGTCCTTGTTTCACAGCTCAGCATGCTGAGGCCTCAGCAGACACCCAGGGACAGCAGTGAGCCAGAAGCAGAACTCCCGTCCAGTCCTGGCCTCTTCTCAGGAGGCCCCCCATAGGGAAGATGGCTGAGGACAGAGACCTCACAGGAGGTAACATGAGGGGGAACCAAGAAACTGGAGGCAACATATATTTTATTCAAATGTAATTCTACTCCAAGGTACCCCAAAGGGAGAAATGGGGGTCCTAGTGGGAAAAGATTCTTCACCCCACCTTAACTCTATCTTAGACTAGAATTTGGAGGTATTACAAAAATAACAATGATAAGTATGGATTCATGGACTGGACTATGGGATGAAAAGAGAGATGAGCAAGGATGAAAAAATACAATAAAGAAAGAGAAGTGGTCTGAGGTGCTATTTCCTCCTAATTAAGAGGACCTGGCACAACCCTGGCTCAGTAGAATGAAGTTCATCTGGACTGGGATGTAAACAAGAGCTCAAAGTCCTTAAAGCAATCAGTTCTAACCTGAGCGGTTTCCGGTTTCCATAGCCTTTTTTCTTTGATACCTTGAGTGGATTCAGGATGTTTCTGGTTCTTGAAAGAGCCAACAGAGTGATCTTTTCTCACTGCACTCTTCTTTTCTGATACCTTCAGATGAAAAAGGATACTAGAGGTCTGCCAAGCAGCTTGGTCATTTGAAAGAAAAGTCATAATGCAATAGAAGAATCTGGGTTCTGAGTTTTAAGGTCATTTCTCAAATGAAAGCTGAACTAACTCAAAGGCAGCATTTCAGAAATAGCATTTTAAAGACTGACTTTCTAAGGAGTCTTCTCTGTAATAAAAAGAAAACAGTACTTACAATATCTACTGGGACAGGGGCAAATGACACATACAGGCTAACACTCAAATTTAAAGATTTGCACCTGAAAAGCATGAATATTTAGTAACTGCATTGTATGCACTGACCTTTCAACAAACTTAAAAATCAAACAAATTTGTAATAAAAGAGCCTGATTTAGTTAATGTTTTCATGTTAGCTAGGGAACAGGAGATGGGGACAGCACCACCATTCTCAGCACATGATTGGCCAATCATTTATTATGAAGACCCACAATTCTCTGGGTATTTTCTTAATCCTGTAACTAGACATTAATTTCTTTTTCCAGAAGCCTTCCCACACACCCCAGTATTGAGAACAAAAGGCTGGTACCAAAGGCTGGGACTTGGCAGAACTGAAAAGGTCATCATCTTCATCATCTCCAAAGAGGCTCCCAACACTTGGCTCTAACAACTAGAACAGACAAAACTCAAATTCAATATCCAAACCAAAACAACTTACAAAGAGAGCGAGGTGAGTTGCTGAGATAGTACCCAAAACAATACCACAGCCATGCTGTGGAGAACCATCTGGCACTGACCCTGGTATTTTTGGTGCCGGAGAAAAGATCAACATCGGGGTCATTGTCCTTCTGGAGCTTGTGACTGAAAAGGAGCTCTTCATCCTGGAAGACACCTGTGCTCTTTGGGTGGGCATCAGGGTCGGGACTCTGGGGAGAGAGGAAGAGGGTGTGTGTTTAGGTTTCTAAGGATTTCTCTCAATGAAATCGCACACAACTACAAAAATGGAACAACAAAGATACCTCCTGTGGCTTTGTTTACAAAAGCTAAAGGCTGAACACAGCCTAAGTGTCAAACAGAAAGGGAATGACAATTCACATAATGGAATACTATGCAGCTACCAAAAATAGTTGAGAATATATAAATACAGATAACAGATACAACTTTTGTGTAGTATCTGAACTTTTTACTTATAAAACAATCTATTAGTTCCATAATGAGAAAAATTTTAGGGGTGAAAACACAAAAATTAAATAAGTTCTCTCCATCTCATTGCCAAAGAGAAGAGACAGCAGCTGTCTTAAAACCAGAAACTACACAGAGTGGTCAAGCACATATGCCTAACCTGCCAGCATCTCGTCCAAAGTCCTGGCACAGGTATAACCAGCCAACCTTCCCCTATTCCCATCCACCTCCTACTCCACTACCTTCAGATTCCAAACCAGTTCATTTTGTTTGCTAGGATGTCTGACATTGAAAGTTACTATGTACATTACTTGGTTTGACATTATAATGCCCCAGATTCTAAAATCCTCCCCTATTTTGTTAGTATCACATCCACAAATTAAAACAAAAAAACTCACTCTTGACAAAATGGGTCACATTAAAAATTAACTAATAAGCCCTGGCCGGTTTTATCAGTGGTTAGAGCATCAGCCTACAGACTAAAGGGTCCGGATTCAATTCCAGGTCAAGGGCATATACCTGGGTTGCAGGCCAGACCCTGGCCCAGGTCAGGGCATGTGCAGGAGGCAACCAATCAATGTGTCTCTCTCACATCGGTTTTCTCTTTCTCTCTTCATCCTCCCTCCCTTCCACTCTCTCTAAAAATCAATGGAAACAAAAGAAATACCCGTGGGTGAGGATTAACGCCCCCAAAAGTTTTAGTTTAAAGTTAATAATTATTATTATTGACTAGAGGCCTGATGCACAAAATTCGTGCAAGAGTAGGCCTTCCTTCCCTGAGCTGCTGGCACTGGCTTCCCTCTGGCACCCGGGACCCAGGCTTCCCTCCAAAACCTGAGACTAAGGCTTCCCTCCGGCCACCGGCAGGAACCCAGGACCCGGCTTCCCTCTCAGCCCTGGCTTTGTCCAGAAGGTTGTCCGGAAGGACTCTGGTCTAATTAGCATATTACACTTTTATTATTACTGATTATACATAAAAGCCAGTGTAACATAGAAATTAAGGCTACAATTTTCATAACTTAAAAAAAATCACAGTCCAAAATCAGCCACAGTAAGAGACTAGAAGAAATATAGTGCCCTACCCAGTTTGGCTCAGTGGATAGAGCATCGGCCCGCAGACTGAAGGGTCCCGAGTTCGATTCCAGTCAAGGGCACGTACCTTGGTTGCAGGTTTCATCCTGGCCCTCGTCTGGGCCCATGTGGGAGGCAACCAACCGATGTGTCTCTCTCACATCCATGTTTCTCTATCTCCTTCCCTTCCACTCTCTCTAAAAATCAATGGGAAAATATCCTCAGGTAAGGATTAACAAAAATCAATAAAATCTTTTAAAAAATATATAGCAAAGTACTGGTGGGGATGTGGAGAAACTGGAACCCTCAATTCTTCAGCAACTCACACGACAGGCCTGATACCATGAAATAAGATTCTTCTATCCTTCTAAAGCCTTGAGCCTTTGCTGCTCCTGCTCACCTTCCCGACGTCTTTCTTTAGAGACGGGGTGCTGCACTGATCTTCTGTTTTATCCTCTTCTTCATCAAAAAGGCTAAGAACAGTTTTGGTTCTACTTTTGGTTCCTTTGTCCCGAGAAGATGAAGAAAATAAATCAGAATGCTTGGCTGCTTCCTGAGTAGATACAGTCAAAGGCCCTTCCTGAAAAATGGAAATAAGGAAAAATATAAGACCTGGAAATGCAAATTCTATTCTGGGGCCTTCCAAGCTCCTCATTAATCCAGTAACGGCCACATTTACATGTTTCAAGGCACTGCAGCTCTACTCCCAGGTAATAAAACATTGAGGCCAATCCTCGACCGGCTACTCCGAAGAAGAGTCTTGTGCAGATAATTTATAGCCAAAGATAATTTTTTCAATCATTTTAAAACCCAAGTTCCTCATTCCTACCAAGAGATATATGCCAGTCATTATCCTGATCCACTTAGGTTGCTCAAGAGCTATAAATAACTTCTAAGTCACAGAGATAACACAAATACCAATCATTAGGAGTATTTCCTAATATTTACCTAACACACAAGTCTCAAGGAGAAACCTAACTGACAAAATTAGACATTTAAATTATAGAAGACTAACATTATATGCAATTAGAAGAATCTCTAAAATAATGCTAAAATCAAGCATTTATTCTATTCATTCAACAAGTACCACATTTCAGGTAAGTTACCACTGATCATAAGAACCATTATTACTGTATGAACCGCCAAGAAAGAAAAACTCCCAATTAAACATGCCTTTTACTGTGTGGTGCATCCTAGTTTCAGAGTGGTTCAACTGTGAAAGATTATGCTTCTTTGAAGAAATGTGTAATTACTATGTGCAAGGTAATATGCTCTGTGCTGCAGATATAATGGTGAACAAAACAAACCTGGCCCCAATACTCAAGGAGTTCATACGCAAGCAAGGGAGACAGCAGTACACAGCAGTTAGAGTTGAAGTGTGGGAAGGGCTGTGACTAGAGTAACTCAGGGGTTACGGGAACACAGAGAGGTCCACACTGAAAGCACAGGAAGAGAATGTTAACCGATGACTCAGGTTCTGCTGCAGCCCCAAGGAGCCTCCAGAGGAAAGTGCACGTGACGTTCTTCACGCAGGCCCTAGAAGGGAGACGGAATCTAAGAGTTGAACACACAGAGGATAGAAAAGTTAGAAAAAGGAAAAGGCATACAGAGACTGGTGGCAATCGCAGATTTCCAGCTAGCCAGCAGCCTTATCCACAGGCCTCTCCTGCAGGAAATGACAGATCATCCAGAAAAAGGAAGCTCATGAGTTAGAAGAAAAACAAATTTCATTTTAATTCACAGCCAACATCAACTAAATGGAAAAAAAGAGAGTACACTCAAATCTTCTTACGACAGTCATTTGAAGTACAGGTGGGGACTGGAAGGGAAAGGGGATAACAGAAAAGAGAACAAGTCAGAGAGAGCAGACATGCAGAGAGAAGGCAGCACGAAGACCAGGACATGGAAGACCACCCTGGAGGGAGAAAGGCAAAGTGGCCACGGGCACTTCCTGTGCGCATGCGGCCTGGAAGCATCCGGAAGCCGAGCAACGCTGAAGGGCTCCTGAAGGCTGGGACCAGAGATTTTCTGCTTTATACTTCCCAGTGTTTTCAAACTTTTGACCAATGAGCCATTTATTTTCTGTAGTAGGAAAATGTAAAGGCGCGCGCGCGTGTGTGTGTGTGTGTGTGTGTGTGTGCGCGTGCGCGCGCTCGTGTGCACACATGTGTGTGTATTACAAGAACAAAAACAAACGTATTGAATATACAAGAAAAAACTCCACCTTTTCTGACTCCTCAACCACATGAGTGCTCCCAAATTCTGACACCTCTTTGGCACTCTCAACCTTCTTGTCCACAGGCTTCTCTCCAAGTTGTACCTCCTTCTCTTCTTCATCGCTGAACAGCAAAGGTGGTACCTCAGGGACAGTCTCTTTTTTCTACCAAAAGATGAGTAAATGACATCCTCATGAAAAATAATATCAACAAAAACACTTGGAAATGGAGTAGAGCTACCACCCCAGAGGGACTGCCTTGCATATCTTACTCCTCATACCAGGGGAGGGGATGGAGGAGGGGCAACTGGGCAAAATGACTTTTGGATGGGCCTACAGCAGCAGGGAATCCCAAACAACTATTTGCAAAAATAACAAGAAAGCAGAGATTACAACTAGGACTGAAATCTAAAAAAACAGTCTTTAGAATTAGCATCGCTATCTGAGCTTATTGGCACCTACATAAATTCCTTCCTTAGCTTATTACCACCACAGAAACTCCTTCCTTCTGTAACTGTTCCCCTTCCCTTTCTCATAAATACCCCATTGCCTTGCTCAGGGGTGGGCAAACTTTTTGACTCGAGGGCCACAATGGGTTCTTAAACTGGACCGGAGGGCCGGAACAAAAGCATGGATGGAGTGTTTGTGTGAACTAATATAAATTCAAAGTAAACATCATTACATAAAAGGGTACGGTCTTTTTTTTTTTTTTTTTTTTAGTTTTATTCATTTCAAACGGGCCGGATTCGGCCCGCGGGCCGTAGTTTGCCCACGGCTGGCCTTGCTCCTAATCAAAATATCAGAATGCCATTTGGGTTTCTGCCTGAATCAGTACTTCCTGAACAGTTATTACTTTGGATGGCAAATAAATGCTTGTTGCCTCTCACTTTCGCCTTTTATTTTTAGGTTAACACTCAAAAACAAAAAACATGTGCTATCACTGCAATGTATAGAACAAGCTGAAACCACAGCCCTCTAAGGAGTTGGCTAATGTCGTGGTGGGAGAGACAGCAAGACAGGCTACCCCCCGGGCCCAGCTGGCAGGAAGCCAGAAACCCCGTCAGTTGCCCCAATGCTTTCCCTTTTCCTTACGGCCAATTGGCAACTAGCCTGAAGGGCACTGCTGCTCCAAGTTTACTTGGTAGGCTTCAATTGTGTTCCCTTTGCTCACACATGCGCCTAACAAGAAAGACTGTCCTTTCCGTAACCCTCCCTCATTTAAATGCTAAAAAACACACCCCTCAGTGGAGATTTAATAGGGTAATGAGACATGCAAATCATGAAGAAGCATGTAGCTCCACTGCTCAGGCACCAGAGAGTCCCTGCTTCCAGATACTCAGACATGATGCTCTGACATCATCTTTCCTGCTTCCACTTCTTTAAAACGGCTCCGTGGGCTTGAACCGGGCCCTGTTGGGCAGCAGCAGCACTTCCTTTCTCCCCCTGGATGCTGTTTCCCTAGAGTGCTAGAGCTTTGTAATAAACCTCTCCCCTGCCCTAACCGGTTTGGCTTAGTGGATAGAGCGTCGGCCTGCGGACTGAGTGGTCCCAGGTTCGATTCCAGGCAAGGGCATGTACCTTGGTTGCGGGCACATCCCCAGTAGGGGGTGTGCAGGAGGCAGCTGATCGATGTTTCTCTCTCTATCCCTCTCCCTTCCTCTCTGTAAAAAATCAATAAAATATATTTTAAAAAAATAAATAAATAAACCTCTCTCCTGAGGACTATTTTTGTGGTGAACTCCCTCGATTTCTATCTCGAGAGTTCCAATGAACCCTGGACAGGACAGTGAAGGGGGCACATGCAAAGAGAAGAAATAAACACCACTCCCCCAGGCTTGCAGACACAGCATCTCAGAGTTTCTGCTACCACATCGTCTGGACCTGTCTCCTTGTGCCTCGACTCCACAGGTCCTGCAATCGCTTACTGGTAGATCCTTACCTCTGCCACTAAGACAACTACTAGTCTCCTTTCTGCCTCCCTCCTCTTCAGCTGTATAACACCTTCCAGAGCTATCATGCTAAACTAAAACACCAGATTATTTCACCTCCTACCCCAGACGTGTACCATTTGCATTAAGCAAATGCTAAGTATGACAATGAACTGACACTCATTATATCCCTTTACTCCTCTACACCCCATTAGTCTCACTTTTCCTTAAACCTGTTGTAAACTTTCACATGCCACGCCTGCTCCTCACAGTTTATAGTGGCAAATCCTCATCTTTCAAGGTTTCCTGTTCTCATCAGTAAGTATCAGCTGCTTCATAGACAAGAATATAGCCCAGCCAGAATGGCTCAGTGGTTGAGCATCAACCTATGAACCAGACGGTCATGATTCGATTCCCGATCAGGGCACATGCCCAGGTTGCAGCCTCTATAGCCAGTGAGGGGGGCATGCAGGAGGCAGCCAATCAATGATTCTCTCTCATCACTGATGTTTCTATCTCTCCCTTTCTTTTCCTCCCTGAAATCAATAAAAATATATATTTTAAAAATATATGTATACACACACACATATATTACTTATATCTCTACCTAGCCTTTGCTTTCTTCTTAATTTACATTAATAGCTATCACACGTCTGTTTGTCCATTTACTTGAAAGAATCATACAGTGTAATTTCAATCACGGTATTTTACATCAGACAGGGGCTCTACATAATTCCGCAAGCCTCTGCCCTGCCTCTCATCTGTCCATTCCCTGGAGGCAGAACTTCAGAGATCAGGAAACTGAGGTTATGTGACTTGACTAGAGTGATCAGTATTCTCAGGGCAAGTCACATCAGAAAATTTTGAGAAAAAACTGTAACATATCACACCACTAGACTAGATGGAATGAGGCGGTGAGCTTTGAAGCAGTATCTAAACGAAGTTAGGAAGACAGATTTGGAAACTATAGAAGAACATTACTAAGATAAGCAAAATTATGAATCAAGTAGGAATAACAGGGTAAGAAGATTTTTAATTTTTGTTAGGAAGAGATTCTTAAAATGCATAATTGTTTGAACTTGAATAAAAAACTGGAAACCCACAAGAGTTTCAGAAGAGATAAGGCAAAACTGAAATAATTTTTTTAAATTTTGTGGATATGGATTCACTGAAAACTACATATAACTTTGCTGCAAGTTAATGAGGGTAAAAAATGAGAATTATGGTGAAACATATTCTCCTTTCATATAACAATGAACCTTAAACCAAGAAAAATGCTACCCAAACTACTGGGTGGTGTTTTTTAAAATATATTTTAACTACAGGCCTGGTGCACGAATTCGTGCATGGGTGGGGTCTCCTGCCCAGTCCCTAATCGGGGCCAATGGGGGCTAGCCAGCCGGGGAGGGATGGCTGGAGATTGGCCGGCGGGCCCTCTCGCCCAGTTCTGATGCACTGGACCCCAGTAGCAAGCTATTGGAGCACCTGCCCTCTAGTGGTCAGTGCGCATCATAGCGACTGGTTGAGCAGTTGACCAATCGGTGGACCGATAGGTTGGACACTTAGCATATCACGCTTTTATTATGTAGGATGATTTCAGAGAGGAAAAGAGAGATAGAAACATCAATGATGAAAAAGAATCACTGATTGGCTGCCTCCTGCACACCCCCCACTAGGGATTGAGCCTACAACCTAGGCATGTTCCCCTGACCAGGAATCAAACCATGACCTCCTGGTTCATAGGTCAATGCTCAACCACTGAGCAACACCGGCTGGGCAAATCTATTGGTTTTAAACCTGCTAAAGATAAGCTGACCATCTTTGTTATAGGTTAATTTTCTTGATAGGTTTATAAGTCAGTCACATTTACCTTACTTTAAAATATTCTAAGATTTCTAAACAAAAGTATCTTTTATATATTGTGTCTAAAGCTGATTATATTTCATAAATGGTAAAAGTCATGCAGATTGTTCAGCTACTTACCTTTGTCTTATTTAATAATCCTAATGCTACTGGTTTTACAGTTTTACATTTCCAGAACCTTTAATATTCATTAGATTATTGCTCATTTATCTGAGGTAGAAGTTACTATTTATAATTTACAAAGAAAAACCACTCAGATCTCCTGACTCTTTTAACCATGGAGCCACTAATGTCCTATTGAGGGAGCTGCAAGTACAGGCGATTTGAGGAAAGGGTTGTGAGCACCTCGAAGCACTGCAGAGCCCACACCAGGAAAACAGCATGCTCCCCAATGCTGAACACTTCAGAGCCCACACCAGGAAAACAGCATGCTCCCCAATGCTGAACACTTCAGAGCCCACACCAGTAAAACAGCATGCTCACCAATGCTGAACACTTCTGGCAAAGCTGTGCAACCTCACGCAATGAGAATGTGGTTAGGAAAGAGTTCCTCATTCGTTAACTGGCATGTGTCTGGTCTGGGGAGCTTTCATAGGACAAGTTAACATTTTTACTATTTCTGAAAACATGAATAATTATTTCCAGGCAAAAGAGAAACATCCTCTTCTGGAGTATTCTGGGACAGGATGAGTCGCCTGAATAGATGTGGGTGAGGCTGGACAAGATGGGTCCAGTGAGAATGAGAGTACAGGTGGCATGGTAGACTCAGCTAAGGCACTGATTGCAACAAGAGGATGACAGGATCAGTTATCTTTAAGAAGAGAACCAGGGCAACAGCAAGGAGAATAGATGAAGGGAAGGAGCACTGACAGAGGCCAGTTAAGAAATTATCTCAATAGTCAAGGCTAAAGGCGGAGGGGTAGGAAGAAACATCCCTCACAAACGTGCAGAAAACAGTGCTGATGACTCCACCAGAGGAGAAACAGCGGCACATGTCCTAGCACAGTGACACTGTGGAGTGCTATATAGTATTGGCAAAGAGCAAAATGACGAATATGCTGCAGGACAAAAAAAGATGCACCAAAATGTACAACATGCTCTTATCTAAATTTTTTTAAAAAGATGCACATGCTTAGAAACAGGCCCCAAAAAACTGACAGCACATTGTGACCAATGGTTACATCTAGGGAGAAATATGGAATGGGGACCTTCTTTATGAAAGCATCCACCTATTACTGTGTAACTTAAACTTAAACAAAAAATATTTAGGAAGGAAGGAAGGAGAGCCAAGTATCACCCTGTAGAACAGGATCCTGCCCTGTCCCTCCTTCACTGCAGCCCCGAGGAGGAGCGATGCACCTGGGCAGGCGCAGGTGTCAGGGATTTGGTCGCCCATCGCTGTGGTGGGAGGGGGAGGAGCTGCCATTTGGATTCTGTGGCTGCTCCCACATGGAAGGAGTGCCAGAGGGTCATCTCTTCCTCCCGGTCTTGCATGTCTTTCTGCCTCTAACACATGCCAAACTGGAGTGCTCTGAGGTTGGGGCTGAAGGCCCTCCTGGCAGGTGGCAAGTTGGTCTGATTCCTGGCCGTTTAAGCTAACCCAGCTAGGTAAAGGTATTCTTCGTGGGGTCCAGCTGAAGAAGTTCTAAGAGTTCCTTTGGGACTGGTGGCAATGGCCAGGTGGCTATAGCACTGTTGGCCTCACTTTGTTCTAGGTGCACATACTCACTAAGGGAATGTGTGGGAGAGAGATGAATGACAGGCCAAAACAGGACTCCAGTGTGACTAGGTTCCCTGAACACACATCATAATGCCACCTTCCTCACTCTTCCATACTCCTGACATAACTAACATCAAGATTGGCTAAATGGCCTACTTGTTTTGGCTCAGTGGATAGAGCGTTGGCCTGTGGATTGAAGGGTCCCGAATTCGATTCCAGTCAAGGGCACATGCCCGGGTTGTGGGCTCCATCCCCAGTAGGGGGCATGCAGGAGGTAGCCGATCAATGATTCTCTCTCATTGTTGATGTTTCAATCTCTCTCTCCCTCTCTCTTCCTCTCTGAAGTCAATAAAAATATACTAAAAAAACAAACAAACAAAAAAAAAGATTGGCTAAATGTTTTACCTTAGGTGACTGGGGTAATGATGCTACTTAAATGTAATCACTGGAAGGGTATGTCCACCATGAGCCACTGACTGGCAATTTTTTTTTTATCACACACACTTTAAAAAAAAAATTTTTGAACTATAGTATTAAACACTTAACATAAAATTTACCACTTCTAAGTATCATTCAACAGTGTTAAAAATAAGCACATTGTTATGCAAGCAATCCTCAAATTTTTTTCATCTTGCAAAACTGAACTGTGTACCCATTAAACAACTCCCTACTTCTGCTATCCTATAGCCCCTGGCGACCACCATTATACTTCCTGTTCCATGGTCCAGGCACCCCGTGTAAATGGAATTATACAGCACTTGTCTTTTGTGACTGGCTTATTTCACTCATATAATGCCCTCAAGGTCATACATGTTGTAGCATGTCAGAATTTCCATCCTTCTTCAAGACTGGCTATGATATAAACCAGAACCAGAGTGTTAGCACTTAAAATACGCCCCTAAAAGAGAGAACTCAGGCGTTAACTACCATGGTCTAAGGTAGAACTCCATGCAGCTGGCGCTATACCTGGCACTCCCTCAGAACCAGAGCAGTGCCCCCCCTCCCCCCGCCCCCCGCCCCCTTTAAACGCCGAGACCTACACTGACACCGCACGGGCTGCTGCCAGGAGGAGTCCTTCTCTCCAGGCTTTGCATGTGCACTTCATTTGAATACACCACTAAGCGGAGACCTCTTTCTAAAACTCCACAAATGGGTCTCCATTAGACTCAGCCTCCAGGTCAGCTTTCAGGAACTGATTCAGGGAAGTATCACTACTTATGTAACATCACTTCGAGGCTATTTCCCGAGGCTAAGAGACTAAGAATACCGTTGTTGCAGGAGGAATGGATGTGGGAGGAGAGCCAAATAGGGAGCTTCCACTATCAGCGTCGTCTTCAAAGAGGAGCGATGCTCTCTGGGTCTTCTTTTGGCTACAAAAGCAAACAAAAGGCAAATGTGATGTTTTAAGAAATGCAGTATCCTTTCTGAGGCACACCTATAGAAACCCACCTACCACTAAAGCATCTGAGCCAGCTGTTGAGCGTACACAGCTGAAAACAAGCAAGAAAAGCCACTGAAGGAGGTGCTGTTTGTACAAGGTCCAGGGCCGCATTATCTTGTCCCTTTTCAATGACTTTTCCCTCAGTGTAGTGCACTGGCTGTTAGCTTTGCGGAGTCACACACACTCAGCACTCACAAACGGAGCATCCTCTCTCACCACCCGCCAAGGCACAGGAGGAGCCAGAGCAGGAGGCCCGTTTCCAGAGCACTCAGGAGGCACTGTCAAGAGATGGCAGGGCCAGGGCCTGCTTTGGGCTGTGACCCGCAGGCTGGTGCCCTCTGCCCACTCAACCCTGTTTTCCAAGCACCTTTCTGCCCTTGCATACCTTCTCTTCAAACCCGAAACCCATCCTATTCCACTCTCCATCACATCACCATTCATCCACCTCCTACCCCGTGTTGGGCAGCCATACCAACATGCAGCCACAGCTCTCCACACCACCTTCCTGAGCCTGTCTTCACCTATCGCCTTGCCTGCGGTTCTGGCCTGGCCCCTAGAGAAGGCTGAAGGTAAGTGTCTGCCAGAACAAATACTGATCAGGACCTTCTAAGGATAAGAAATATAAAAGTGGAGGCTTAGCATTGGACACAGGGAATCCAGAATAAAAAGGGTTCCAACTAGTAAAGGGTCAAGTTCCAGTTTTCACTATGTGATAAGCAACTGTCCAACTAGCATACTAGAGAATTAACAAATGAAAGCTTTAAATTTAATTTTAGCTAGATAAAAATAATAATAAGTCATTTCAGTAAATTGCTCACCATATCCATCTACTTACATTAGAATATAATTAGCATATACTCCAGTAAGGATATTACAATCTTCTTAGTAAGTTTAATTATTAACAAGGTACAATCTATGTAGTTTATTCATTAGTTTAGTATTGATGTCTGCCTACATGTTTTAAACAAAAACCTAAGAATCACTGATTAGAAAACACAACTAACCAAATGGGTGAGTGCACTTACACTGAACATATACACTAAAGGACAATTAAAATTAAATCCGTATCTTGAAGAAGTTTTAAAACAAAGAGCCAGCTGGTCATTGGGGCTCAGTGGTTGAGCATCGACCTATGAACCAAAGTTCTCAGTTCAATTCCAGTCAGGGAACATTCCCGGGTTGTGGGCTCCATCCCCAGAGCGGGGTGTGCAGGAGGCAGCCAATCAGTGATTCTCTATCATCATTGACATTTCTATCTCTCCCTCTCCCTTCCTCTCTGAAATCAATTAAAAGATGTATATTTTTTAAAAACTACAAAAAACCAACTCATAATTACAGAGTAAGGTAATATCTAATATACCTTTAAGGATATATACCAATTTAAATTTACACAAATCATAACCAAAATATTTAACCACAAGGTGATAAATAATCATGAAGTATTTTTAAAATAGAACTATCTCAGTTGCCAGAAAAATACCAGAAATTTCATTGAGCAGCTAGAACAGGAAAAAACCTTATGTATGATTTTCTGAACAAGTAATTTCTAAACAAACACACACACAAACAAATATAAAACCCAACCTACAAAAAAAATTTGATGGCAAGCTGAGAGTAAGCGGAAGAGCTAGCTTTTTTCTGGACCTCGATAGCTGTACTAGGAAACAAAAGCCAGGCCTTGACCTTGGCCCTCATTTCCCACTCTCAGCCTCCCATGCAGATGTGTCCTCATAAGAAAAATATGCTGCTCAGTGAGCTAGAGTATTCTCACTATAATAAGTTAAATGTTTTGATTTCTTTATAAAGTACAGGTATCAGAAAACATGATGATGACCACAGAGTTTATGGCTGACACCAGGACACTTTGGAGAATGAAAGGGAAACTTATTAATCACTAGTGGCCCGGTGCGTGGAATTTGTGCACGGGGGTGAGGGGTTCCCTCAGCCCAGCCTGCACCCTTTCCAATTGGACATCCCTCATGCAATCTGGGACCACTGCCTCCTAACAGCTCACCTACCTGCCTGCCTGCCTGATCGCCCCTAACTGCCTCTGCCTGCCTGTCTGTCCCAAACCCCTCTGCCTGCCTGCCTGATTGTCCCTAACTGCCTCTGCCTGCCTGATAGCCCCCACTGCCCTCCCCTGCCGGCCTGATCTCGCCCCCAACAGCCCTCTCCTGCCGGCCTGATCTCACCCCCAACTGCCCTCCCCTGCCAGCCTGGTTGCCCCCAACTGCCCTCCCCTGCCAGCCTGATCTTGCCCCCAACTGCCCTCCTAACTGCCTCTGCCTGATCACACCTAACTGCCTCTGCCTCGGCCCCCACCACCATGGCTTTGTCCGGAAGGAAGTCGGATGTCCAGAACATGACCAGTCGACCTGGTCTAATTAGCATATTACTCTTTTATTAGTATAGATTATATAGGATAGGATTGCTTAAATGGGGGGGAGGGAGCCTTTTTCAGCAGGAGGAGATGTTCTTGGCAGACAAAAATACACGATCCCTATATCTGGATTGATAGCCAGCCATATGCACTATACTGCCAAACCAGTCATTAAAAAATTGAACTGCTTTCTTACACCTTACACCAAGCTGTTGTTGCTCTGAAAATCCCTCCTCAGCCCCTACCTTACGTTCTGCCTTTGCAGTTCACCCAGATTAGGTTCTGATTGGTCGGTTTCTATGCCAATCAGTATCACAGGCAGCCATTAGCTCCTTGCAGTTCACCCAGATTTGGTTCTGATTGGTCGGTTTCTATGCCAGTTGGTGCCAAAAGCTCTGCCTCCTAGGCAGTCATTGGCTCCTCACAGTTTACCCAGATTTGGTTCTGACTGGTCAGTTTCTATGCCAGTCAGCGTCTCCGGGTCTATCTCTGGGCCTGATCAGAGAAGCGAGGCTGATCAGCAGCAGCCCCAAGCTGCTGGCGAGCGGGCTGAACTGCTGATCTCTCGGAGAGAAAGAGAGGAGCAGCTGCTGGCAAGGCCCAGAGAGAAAGAGAGGCAAAGGCTGATCAGCAGCTGCCACGGAGGCTGTGAATCAGACCCTGCTTCTCTCTCCAGGCCTCGCCAGCAGCTGCGCGTGTGTCTCTCTCTCTCTCCTCTCTCCTCTCTCTCTCTCTTTCTCTCTCCAAGAGGTCAGCAGTTCAGCCCACTCGCCAGTCCCTGCCGACCCAAGTCTGGTGCATGCGCAGCCTGGCGTTCAATCGTCCCTTCAGTCATTTTGGACGTTACGGACCATGGCTCTTTATACATGTAGATTATGCAGGAGTGCCAGGCACCAACCGGGGTGCTCCAGGCAGCCAGGACACTGGATGTCCTGCTTCCGAGGCAGAATTGCATAAGTCCGTTAGGGTTACAAACCTGTTTTTGTTTGTTATAATGGTTTGGAGATATAATTTTACATATCATAAAATTTACCCTTTTATAGGGTAAAATGATTGGTTTTTAGTATATTAAGAGTTGTACAACTATCATCATAACTTAAGTTCACAAACTCCGTATCTGTTAACAGTCACTCCCAATTCTCCTTTCCCCTCAACCCCAAACACTAATTTATTTTCTGTCTCTATGGATCTATCCATTCTGAACGTTATATATACGTGGAATTATACATGTGATCTTCTGTGACTGGCTTCTTCCAATTAACACAATACTTCCAAGGTTCATCCATCCATACTGTAGCATGTGTTAGTTCTTTCCTCCTTCTTACTGGTGAATAAGTCCATTGTATGGACATAATATATTTGTTTACCTTTCAATCAGTTGATAGACTTTTGGGTTATTTCTAATTTTGGGCTAGCATAAAAAAGTCACACACAAGTTTTTGTGTGGACATGTTTTCATTTTTCAAGCATATACTTCAGAGTGAAATTAAGTCATATAGTAACTCCACTTTTAACTCTTTAACAAAGTGTTAGGATGTTTTCCAAAGTGGCTGCACATTTTACATTCCTGCCAGCAAAATGTATGAGGGTTCCAATTCTTCTACATCCTCTCCTACACTAACTGTCTATGGAAGCTTTTTCTTTTTTTAATTCTTGTTCTTTTTTGTATTGATTTCATAGAGGTAGGGAGAGGGAGAGAGAGATAGAAACATCAATAATGAGAAAGCATCACTGATTGGCTGACTCCTGCATGCCCCCTACTGGGGATAGAGCCTGCAACCCAAGCATGTGCCCTTGACCAGAATCGAACCTGGGACCCTCCAGTCTGCAGTTCCATGCTCTATTCACTGAGCCAAACCAACTAGAGCTTTAAATTATTTCTTAAGAAAAATGCCCATACACTAAATTTCAGAAGACAACTTCTGGACCAATTGGAGATGGAATGAGTCTGGAGCAGAGAAAGCATTACTGAAAGCCAGGAATTGTGTGTAGCTGCTCCAGGGCCTACAAATAAGACATGTTTCCAGGTCTCTGACTTGTGGCCCTGTGTGCAGTAGGGGCAATGGGAGGGGGTGCATGTGAAAACAGTAACTTCTATACCATGTAGAAAACGCTCAAGTGCAACAGAGGAGGAACATATATGGATAAAGTCATTTGTGCTCTAGACTCCAACCCTATTTATTTCTTCTGTCATCTGTCTGGGTTAGGGAAGATTTTTTAAAAGAGGGGGCTTAAACTCAAGTCTTTCAAGAAGCTGGCCAAAATAAGAAAGGAAGAAGGCTGGGGGGAGGGAGGGAGGGAGGGAGGGAGAGAGAGAGAGAGAGAGAGAGAGAAGGAGAGAGGGAGAGAGGGAGAGGAGAGAGAGAGAGAGAGAGAGAGAGATGAGAATGAGAATGAATAAAGGAACGAAATGTTACTTCCCCTACATCCATGACAATAAATGGTTAACAGTTAGATGCTTACAAAGCTAAGTAGTTCACGTATGATTTTATTTAATCCTCACTGATCCTATGAAAAAAGTACTATTATTATTTTTGTTTAATGATGAGGAAACTCAGGCCCAAAGAGATTAGAGCTGGGCCAGAATTTATTACCAGGTCTTGGGATTCCAGAGCCTGTATTCTTAACCAGAGTCCAAGGACACATCCAGGGGTGAGGCCATACGGGCCAAACATAGAAATGGCGACACTGAAAGGTATCACAATATTCAGAGATAGAATATAAGGTGCTTTTGGAGCCATCAAATCTAAATAGCCTCTCTCTCCTGCAAGCACGCCCATGCTCATGCCCGTGCCGGTGCCTTCCCCTTTCTCCTCCCCCAGGCACATTTCCATTAGCTTCCTCACTCCCAAGCTCCAAGGGCCCTTCCTTTACCTCCATAACTTGTTTCCTAAGCCCATTTCTTCTAGGAATTACTTCTTTTACCTCTGTGATTTACCCAATAAATGTTCTCTTACCAAAAAAAAAAAAAAATCAAAATGAAGGCTTAACCACACTAATGGGTAAGATTTACATGTCCAATCAATTGCCTCTTTATGCTACTACCATTCAGCTGAATTTCAAAGTGATCATTAAGGCTCTCAAGAGAAAAAAATATGTATTTGCAGGGGCGTTACTCTGAATACACAGCTCTTCTGGCAGCAGGCTACCCCACCAGCCACAGCCATGCTCACTCCACATCCTGCCAGTTCCAGTCCAAGTAGGAATGAATGTGAAGGACCTAGACCCGTAAGGAAAACCAGCAACTGGTGTGACTCAGCTCAGCTCTGAGAGAACCATCCATCTAATGGATGTTGTTCAATGCTGGGCCGATTCCTATCCAAAGGACAAACTTAAGTAACTTGATCAAACTGTACATTTTTTAGTGTATCCCAGAGGAAAAACAAACTGTACTTAAACCCCTAATTAACTAAGAAAAATAATATTTTAAGGTTAACAAAATGATAGGTAGAAGAAATTAAGGATCCATCAGAAAAAGAAAATTTGCAGTATTGGAGAAGAATACCTTGCAAGTGAAATGCAGAGACATCCTCATTTGTTTGACTATCCGTTAATGAATGATTAGCAGCTCACCCAGCAACTGACAGCCTACACATCAAATACCTTACTTATTACCACAGACTCGGATTAAATGACTTGGTACAATGACTCTCACCTGTCCTTAGCAATAGCAAACAGATCATCTTCGTCGTCTTCCTCAAAGAGGCTGGTCTTTTTCACCGTCTCCTGGCCCCGGCTGGGCTCGGAGTTCCTAAGTTCGCCTTTAGATCTGCCGTCAGAAGCTGAGTTGGTCTGTGAATCAGTAACATTCCACTGGTCCTAAAAATATAAAATATGTATTAAAACCCAGTGGCAATGGCGTCTAAGGAACCTAGGAAGTAAAATAAAATTTACATTCATTAGACTAAGTTGTATTTAAACCAAGTATTGCACTAAGTGTATCACACCTGAAGAAAGCTCATGTCCAAGACTTTTCCTTGAACTCCAATCTAGACAGCTGGGTTCTTTGACTTCACAGACCTGCTCATGCCCTCCTCCTCCCCTGCCTGCCACGATGCTTCTCCTCTCTAAGGTTCTGCTCTGTGTTGGGAAGGGAACTTGTCTACTTTAGAGGATCAACATTAATTAAAGAGGGGAGAAATGCTAAAAAATAAATCAAGAACTCTCAACTTTAGCCCTAGCTGGTTTTTCTAAGTGGGTAGAGCATCAGCCTGCAGACTGAGGGGACCCTGGTTCGATTCCAGTCAAGGGCACATGCCCAGGTTGTAGGCTCAATCCCACGTGCAGGAGGCAGCCAATCAATGATTCTCTCTCATCATTGATGTTTTGATTTCTCTCTCCCTTTCCCTTCCTCTCTGAAATCTATAAAAATATATTTTTAAAAAGAACTCTCAACTTTGGAGGAAAATTTGTTAAGACTCTAATAAAAAAGAAGTTAAACTTGCATAGGATGTTCTTACCATGTCTAGATTTATGTTCTTGATTAATGAAACATAGTGATTATGTAATAAGATAAAATAAGGCCCCACTCATTTGAATTAGCATACATTATTATTTGAGGGCCATACTTATACCTGGGACCCCTCAGTCCGCAGGCTGACACTCTATCCACTGAGCCAAACCGGTTATGGCAAGGGCCATACTTATTTTATTTTTAACCCTTTTTAAAAAGATGCCCTTTAGTTTAATATACTGGACTATTTTTCTTCAAGTGCTGCAAACAGTCTCTAGCGGCTGAACTTCACTAGACATAAAGCAGGTGGAGAAAGAAAATGCTCAGGACAGCCGCGACTCTTACTCCAGCAACGCCCGCTCCTGCGGGGAGACTTCCCACTCACCTCCTCGTCGCTGCTGAACAGCAAGGCAGATGCTTTCTTTTTGGGGGGCTCAGAGAGTTTTGCTTTCTCTTGGCTCAGAGTTGGTAGAGATGATGCTTGCTTCTTGGCAGCTGTAGCCCCAAAAAGATTATCCTAGAAAAACAAATGGCAGAAGAGTATGACAACTTTATACATGTAAAACAAAAAACTTATGATATTCTCATGTCAAATTGTTAGAGAATAAATCTCTAGTCAGGTACAAAATAGATATTTTGTGGGGGGGCGGGGAATCACAAAATGCTAGTAGACCCCACTTTTCTCACATATAAGCCTACAACAGTCTGTAATAGTCTCTCAGTGTACTCTCCATCCACAAAGGGAACATTCCACAGAACCCAAGGCGGACACCTGGGAGGGGGCATTAGAGGGAGTGACGTGAGGCAAGGTCACAGAAATAGGAGGACACGTGGCCGCACCCGGTAGGCAGGCTCTCTGGCTTACTAAGGAGGCCATGGCCGCACCTGCCGGAGAGCAGAGCAGCAACCTGCACAGCCAACAATCCGCACCTTCCTTTCTATGAATTACAAACTGGAGCAATGGATAAAAGCAGAGAAACACGGAGCGTTCTCCACTCCTTTACACACATCTGGGGCAGAGGGAAGGAACGACTGGGGTTTCTGGTTAATTTTAAAGAGGTATACAAACAAGAAATAGTTTACTAAATAAAATCACTGATCCACAAAGAACCGACTCTCATAGGTTCAAAGGTGTTGGTAAATTTTTGTATCGTCACACACTCCAGAGGTGCCTATTAAGGTACCTTTATTTAGATAAGAATAACAAAATCATCAGAGGGCCTGAGCCGGAGTCCGAGAGAAACAGCCTTAAGAGTATACACAGCAGGTGAACAGTCTGAAATGTAAATATCGATGAAGAGAGCCTGAAAAGAGAGTGTGGGAAGGCAGGCAAGGCATCCAGTGCGGATACACATTTAGGGCGCACTTACTGCGCCAGGCTCGGTGCCAATGGCTGCACATGAGTTGTGTCAGCTGTCACAATGACCCCACATACCACTGAGCCATGAGATTCAGAAAGGTCAAGTTACTTGACCAAGGCCCCTGACTTGCAAGTGGTGGAGCTAGGACATGAACGCAGAGGCCTGAGGTCAGGCAGAGGAGCTTAGCATCGCACAGAACTGCGTAAGGATGAAGGTTCGCTTGGTCTTCCCTCTCACTTCCCCCACTCGCTCTTATCCAGGGTGGGAAAGAAAAGCAAGGTGAGGAGGACATGGCTGCCTTCTCCTCTTGCTCCCCCTTTAACCAAGACATTCTTGTAGACCACTGGGTATAACAGGTCCATCCTCTATAAAGCATTTCCTGCCCTAGCCAGTTTGGCTCAGTGGATAGAGTGTTGGCCTGTGGGCTGAAGGGTCCTGGGTTCGATTCAGGTCAAGGGCACATGCCTGGGTTTTGGGCTCTATCCCCAGTAGGGGGCGTGAAGGAGGCAGCCAATCAATGATTCTCTCTCATCATTGATGTTTCTCTCTCTCTCCCTCCCCCTTCCTCTCTGAAATAAAAAAAAATACATATTAAAAAGCATTTCCTAAAGGTAGGCTTTTTAAGTGAACTCTACAAAGCCTTCCATACAAGCTGGATCAAGAGTCTAATGTCCTTCCCACTGTATAGCTAAGAGGACCTAAGAAAGGATGGCTGAAATAAAAACCGACAGGGTTTTGTCAGATAAGCCTGTCAGATGGCTTGAGTGCTTCCCCATCACCCTGATCTACTGACTGAACCCCTGGCCATAAAGCTACATCAGCAACAGTTTCCTAATAATAAAAAGACTTGATTATTTTGTGTTGCAATAACAATGTTTACCTCTTCTTCTTCATCATCAAAAAGCGAGACTGACGTGGGGAGTTTGCTAGGCAGGAGAGATGCATCTTTTGACTTGCTCACATTTTGAGAAGAAAACAAATCCTGTTGGATCAAGATGAAAGTTCCTGGTAAACAAGATCCATCGTTTTACAGCATCGGTTACATATGAAACACCAATGACTACGCCACCGCAGCTGCAGTGGTCCAGGTCTTTGTCAGACGGGAGCTCGCCGAGCCCGTCCGGGAGGAACACGCCCCGAGTCTGCCCTGCTGCGCGCAGCACGAACGCCTGGCTGTGAGGAGGAAGTGACCACACAACTCCAGGCGCCTCACTGGGCCCAGGGGTTTGGGTACCCGTACTTGCTTTGGCTTGGCCTCCCACAGGGACGACTTCAGGCGAGGAGGAAGTTTCCATCCATCTCCTGTCATGCTAAAAATAAGAATGACTTCCTTTTTCTGTCCAAAGAATCAGAGGGACTGAACAGATTCCATAATGGGAACAGAAGCCAGGTTCCCAAATTACTGCAACTATGACTCTTTTATTTAGTAACAAATAAGAGTATAATATTTGCTACTCTTGTAAAAGTATAGTATTATTTCTTTTAAATAAGTACATATTCAATTTTTATTTTTAAATGTTTGGTATTCTATTTGAACTATAGTAGATGTTGCAAACTATTAAAAAATCTGGTAGATTTGAAGAAAATTTCAAAACGTTAACCTGTAATGCAAAGAAAGACCTGCACGTTGAGCAGCATGAATTTAACATAAAATAGAACAACTGTTCCTTCAAGAAACTTCAATACACAAGAGGCCAGACAATTAAACAGGACAAGACCTTTTCTGAGACCTTTTCAGACAAACTTCTCATTATGGAATCAATGTGCACTCCTCAAATACAGGTCCAATAGGTTCACTAACTTAGAAGAGCGCGGCTCCGTCCAGTGGTCCTCGCCTGGGACCCACGGCGCCCTCTGCGTCTGTTTATGGACAAGAGGCCTCACAGGGCGAGTTCCGGGCCTCCTATCCTCTCCTGCATTTTACACCCTGGTAGGATGGTAGGATTCACTTAAGGAAAGGGCTCTGTTGCTTTCAAATTAAACAAGGAAATAAACCAAAACAAAGAACAAAAGCAAATTTCAACATCCTGGCTTTGGACCTTGACTAGCATCTTCCTGGAAAGAGTGCTTTTCCATGACCTCAAACATGTCCCCACAATGATCTCCAGGGGGAGCTTGAGCTCTACACTTGAGACAGAGGTAGGAGTAAAGAACCCGCCCTTCTGGGCCAAGGCCTAGCTTCTATGTTTTACTTCTCCAGGTCTCAGCACCTGGCAGTACCCAGTAAAAACAATCTATGATGCTGCACATGGAACAAAGCGTTCAGTGGTGGTTTTAAAAACCTGCCTCGCCCTGGCCGGTTTGGCTCAGTGGATAGAGCATCAGCCTGTGGACTGAAGGGTCCCGGGTTCGATTCCAGTCAAGGGCACATATGCCCAGGTTGTGAGTTCAATCCCCAGTGGGGAGGGTGCGGGGAGCAGCTAATCAATGATTCTCTCTCATCATTGATGTTTCTATCTCTCCCTCTCCCTTCTCTCTGAAATCAATAAAAATATATTTTAAAAATAATAATAACAATAAAAGCCTGTCTGGCTTTGGCTGATGGCTCAGTTGGTTGGAGTGCTGTCCCATACACCAAAAAGGCTGTGGGTTCGATTCCCAGTCAGGACACATACCTAAGTTGCAGATTCCTAGTCGGGGCACATATGGGAGGCAACTGATCGATATTTCTAACATTGATGTGTGTGTGTCTCTCTCTCTCTCTCTCTCTCTCTCTCTCTCTCTCAAAATCAATAAAATATATCCTTGAGTGAGGATTAAAAAAAACCTGTCTGAAAATTATTTTATACTCCTACCATCAAGAAGTGGAGTCTGTGTCCCTACCCTGGAACCTGGGGGGCCTTTGTGATTGCCTCAACAGAATGCAGCAGAGGTGGCAAGTACAGCCTCAGGGCAGCTCCTGGGAATCGCACTTTGAAGCTCTGGGCCACCACGTAAGAAGCCAATTTCCCAGAAGCTGCCGTGCTGGAGACGGCACAGAGGGCCGGTGCCCCCAGTGCCCCCGCTATCTGAGTCTTTCCCGCCAAGGCACCAGAACCACGGAGCTGACTCTCAGCCACCTTCACACTAGGACCCACATGTGACCCTAAATAAAAAGTGTCTAGTTGAGCCGAGTCAACTTCTAGAACCATAAGAGGTAATAAAACTTATTTTTTAAAAATATTTACATTGATTTCAGAGAGGAAGAGAGAGGGAGAGAGGGGTGGAAACATCAATGATGAGAGAGAATCACTGATTGGCTGCCTCCTGCACATCCCACACTGGAGATAGAGCCCGAAACCCAGGCATGTGCCCTTGACCAGAATCAAACCCGGAACCCTTCATCCCCAGTCTGAGCCAAACTGGCTAGGCCTTATTGATGTTTTAAGTCCCTAAGCTTTGGAGCAATTTATTTCATAGCAATAAGTAATGGAACACCTTTTAAGTCACTAAAAGTGCACACGTTTTCTTTTTTTATGTAGTTGACAACTCTTTGAGGGCTGACCAAGTGCCAATCACTAGTGTAGGTATTAGGGGTAAGGGCGGGAACAAACGTTCTATCCTCACGGAGCTTTCTAGTCGGGACAGAGACAATGCATGAGGAGACGTGAAACGTCACCTGGCAAAATAGACTGTGAAGAACGATGAGACAGAAGAGGGGCCCTGGAGTGGTGTGGTGTGTGCTGGCGGGCCTGCGATTATGCCAAGGGTCGTCGGGGGAGGCCTCACAGGGAACTGGGGAAAGTGGACGCTAGCCCTCTGAATTCTGGGAAGAACATTCCCAGAGGGGCAGGAGCCAGCGCAAAGACCTGGAAGCGGGAGCTCAGGATCAGACCAGAGTGTGAGGCCCCATCATGCTGTGCTCACGTGTCAGGATTTGGCCTAACTGGATTTTGGCTGATTCCAATCTTCTGTACATTGGACACAAGTGAAGTACAACCCCCAAAGGTGTCATTTGTATCTACGGTAACCACTCTACTCACAAAGAGCTGCATGTTCATCCTGGCCATTAGTGCAAAGTAACCACTAGAGTTTAACTCAAAGTTTACAGAATCCACACTTCAATGCAAATTTCTGCCATGTCCACATATTTTTCTGTGAAGGGGACTGATTACAGCCCATTACATTCTCATACAGGTCTCTGACCCCCTAAAAGCCTGGTCGAAAGTTCGTTCTCAAAGGACCGAGGCCTGTGGGAGTCAGAAGCAGCAGTGACGCCTCCGAGAGGTGGTGTTACTCCATTGAAAAGGGGCTCCCGGGCGCGTGCCTGGAGGACTGAGGCTGTCCGCAAACAGTGCCGGCCACAAACTGTGACCAGCCACCAGGTAAAAAGCTGTGCCAGGATGCCCATCCCTTCATCACTAAGCCCACATTTTAGTGAGAACACCAAAAAAGGAAGCAGTGTGTAGATTTCCATTCTGGTACAAGTTAAGTACCTCACTGCTTGAAGGTCAACAAATAGCCTAAAATTTGAGCATTCTGAAGACAAAGTATTTTCCTCCCAGAAGATGCGCTGGATTCAAACCCAAGAATGAAAACTATTGTACATATATTGCTTTCTAAAGACTGTATTCCCTGGCCGGGTGGCTCAGTTAGTTAGAGCATCATCCTGATACACCAAGGTTGCAGGTTTGATCCCTGGTCAGAGCATATACAAGAGGCAACCAATGAATACATAAATAAGTGGAACAACAAATCAATGTTTGTTTCTCTCTCTCAAATCAATAAATTTTTAAAAAGGGACCATGTATTCTCAAGAGATTAATGTCAAAGAAAGAACTAAACAATATAATAAAAAGTCTTGTACCTCAACTGAGAAAATCCTGATTCAAAAACAGTTTCAAATGTAATATCCACAGACTAATTCCCAGAACTAAAAAATAACTCCTTACCTCAGTGTCTTCCTCATCTGAAAATAAACCTTTTTGAGTCTTTGTTTCTGACAAGAGCTTAAGGTTTTTGTTGGAAGGCAGGGTAACCTTTGTTGGGGGAAAAAAAATTGAGTTAACGAACAAGATGCCTGGAAATGAGAGTGTATTCAATCATTCATTCAGAAAACGTACTGAGTCTCTGGTAGAATAAAGCAACTTGGGCCTATATCAAGTTCATACAAACCATGAACTCAAAATGAGAAGTGTCATGAGAAAAAATTTCCAAATTGGTTAAGTTAGGAAAGGAAAGAAACAATTCCTTGCCAAAGTAAATTTCTCAGGACAGACAAGGCCTAGACATGGGCCATGTCTACTAGTAGGTACAGCGAGGACATTCCAGGCAGAGAGTCCATGTGAGGAGACAAGAGCAAGAGAAAAGCAGCGGGCACACCTGGGAGACCAGAGAGTAGGACAGGCTGCCCACCTCATAAAGCACACAGTGGGACAGCACAGCTGGAGCCAGCACAGGAAGGGCTGCCCTAAGAGCATGCCAGGTTCTGCATGCTGGGACCTAGGTGGTCGCCAGTGGGAAGGTCAGGATTTCATAGCAAAGACATGACACAGATGTGCTTTAGAAAGGTCAAGGTGTGCAGGATAGCAAAGGGAAGGGGAAGCAGCCAGAGGAGCTTAAAGACTGAGGGGGATGCAGCCCACTGGCCAAACACAGGTCAATAATATAACCTGTGAGCATCAAAAACAGCTATGATGCTCATAGGTTATAATACATCCATGGTCCTATAGTGATACTAAAAAAGCAGGAAAGGAGGAGAAAATGCTCTTCTGTTCAGAAGAATGCCAGCTAACAAAAGTAGAAGAAATGCAAGAACTGGAAAAACATTATTTTGTACCCTTTAACACAATGACTGGTTCAGGTAAAAGATCATCAATGGATGTCAAAACAACGGGTAAGGCAAAATCCTACCAACTGCTGCATCTTGGTGGCAGTTCTTTGGGTGTTCATTGTACTCTTCCAACTTTCTGCAGTTCTTCACTATAAACGTGAAAGAAACAGTACTTCCCCTCTGGGCTCCATATGAATGAACAAGATGTCCCAAATCAACACTGCCATGTGCAGTCTTTCCTCTCGCTCACCTTTCCTTCCCCTCCTGCTTTATTTTCATCTGTCTGCTTCACAGCAGCTTCTGGCAAAGTCACTGCTTGCTCCTTGAACAAATCTCCTTCCTCCTCATCAAAGATGTTGGCAGTGGATTTGATTTTGTCTTTAAAATATATCACAGCACAAAATTACAGTAAGGCAAAATATCCCACCATAAAATTCACACATTAAAAATTCTTCCCTCACAAAGAATACATTTAGAAAGTATGTTATTTCTTAGTTATGAGGAAATATGAAGAGGACTAGATTGGAATTTTTCAAAAAACATAACAGCAGCTCAAATGAAACAGGATAGACAGTTTAACCATGTGGTTTAGACACTGATCCAAGCAACAGTGGCCGATGCTTACAGTAGCTTGGCTGACATAAAAGTAAAGAGAGACCTACAGAAAGATCATTTAAAAGTCAATCACTCTAGTCCTGGCCGGTGTGGCTCAGCTGGTTGAGTGTCATCCCATGCACCAAAAGTTTGCTTGTTCAAATTCCAGTCAGGACACATGCCTGGATGGCGGGCTTGATCCCCAGTAGGGTGTGTGCAGGAGGCAGCCAACACGTTTTTCTCTCCCTCTCCCTTTTTCTCTAAAATCAATAAAAACATTTTTTAAAATTCCCCTATTTAAAAAAAAAAAAGTCAATTACTCTAGGAAGCTGAGAAATGAAGGTCAGCTCTTGCTTTTAAAAAATCAAATTATATAAAAGCAAATACTGAAATCTTCCCCACAACTCCACTTTCCCACCCAAACACAACAGCCGTTGGAAGTAGGGTATATATGCTTCTAATTCTCCCAAAGGATATACTAATGTATTAACTCTAGACATTCACAAATAAGGCTAAAAATGATAGCATAATTTGAACAACACATCTTACAATTTGCATTTTTCAATTAATGTACCTTGGGTATCTTGCCATGTCAACATACATAGACCTCATTCTTTTTAGCAGGTTCACGAAACTCCACTGAATGGAAGGACCATAATTCACCCTACTGATGAGTATTTGGGTGGTTTCCAGCCTTGCACTCCCACAGGCACTGCTGCACTGAATGAGCTGTGTGTTACTGAAATGAGGGCACTGATTCATCAGCTGACCAAGAAAGGGGCATCAACTCATTTGTGATTCCACACCAGTTCTCAATGACATCCATCCACTACAGCAAGCGTGTCAAACTCGCAGCTCACAACGAATATTTTTGCGGCCCAGCCAATATAACGGTATGTAAGAAACGTTGTGATAAAAATTTCCTAACTTAATTTTTACAATATCCTGTTATACATTTCATATATATATATATATATATATATATATATATATATGCCTAATATACAAAGTGTCCCCTCAGAAGTTCGATTGCTCACTATGATGTGCACTGACTACCAGGGGCCGGCGTAGAACGAAGGAAGGCCCCAGCTGGCAGCCTGGGAAGGGAGGCCCCGGCCCATAGCCAACAGCCGCTAGGGACGCTACCCATGCACGAATTTTGTGCACTAGGCCTCTAGTTATTAATAACAAACTACAATGTTTGCTAATAGCTTGATTACTATAATTGTGTTGCATTCATTTCCCTTAGGTGCCTTACGCACAGGCACACCATTTCTCTCCACTAATACTAGCAGCGAATATTGCAGCAGCTGATTGCCATGTCATTAGTCTTGTACTGACTTGTTTGGTGTGCTCAACAGGAAGTAATTCGCTTTCGGAGAACAAGAAAAATAGGTTTATTTGCATTTACGCTTATTAATTTATGCAGTTATTCAGTGTCTGCTAAGTTAATGTTCAAGAAAAAATATTAACTTTTATTAAAATGTTCTATTATTTTATGTTAGCGATTATTCATTTATTTCAGCCCTTTGTCTTCAGCATGTCTCTATCGAAATAAACCTATGTTTCTATGAAAATTGAAGCTTTTGTTTTCTTGCAGCCCACATAAACTTAAACCTTGTTTATTTGGCCTGAGTTAGCCTTGAGTTTGACATGCTTGCACTACAGTGAGAGATCGCCCATGTTATGAGGAACTACTGCCTGCATTCACTGCCATTTCAGGTGGCCTAGATCTGAGTGGATTATGCATCCGTTTGCACTCTTTCTACAATAAAAAGGAATTATTTCTCTCACTTTCTGCTTCTACCCTTACCTTCCACACCTCCCACTGAAAAGGGAGCTAGTGCAACCCACAGACCAACAATCTCTGTGCACCAGGGAGCTGGTTAGAAATGCAGAATCGAAGACCGCATCCTACCACCCTGAATCAGAACCTGCACGATGACGACGAACTCAGGAGATCATCTGCACGTTAAAGACCTGGTTTAGAGGAGTGATTTCATGAACATGTGGCTTAAATTTGAGGGGAGAAGACAGAAAGAGAGCTGAAGTGGCTACGGGGCTGGAAACCCTGTCGTACAAGGAAAAGTTAAGGTTACCTGGGCTTTTGGGAGCAAAAGAGAAGCTGGGAAATAAACAGCTAGCCTGGCATTCTGTTCGGAGTTTACTAAGGACTGCTGGAGAAAGTGTGATTCCGAAGGTGAGAACTAGAACTCTAAGGAAGAATTCCTAGCTATTAGTTTTCAAAGCAGAAAAGATTGGTTCATAAAACAGAGACTTCCAAGGTACTGTAACCACAAAAGCAGAGATGAAACAACTCTATGAGAGGAATATTGGGGACGGGTTCTGATCCTATAAGAGTTATGAACTAGAGGAGCTTCATGCCTTTTTAGGTCAATATTATTTTCCTGGCAAAATCCAAAACCAGCCTGGAACAAGCACCTGTCTTGGAGGGTTTGCTACAGGACGCTGCAAAAAAGTCATCGTCGTCGTCCTCATCAAAGAGGCCCGTGGATGGGAGGTACAAGTGCTTCCCTGGAGCGGGCTGCTGGGGCTGCTGGGGCTTCTGGGGCTCCTTCAGTGACGGAGCAGACGCTGCACCCAACACATCAGTGTCCCCTGTGGGTAGAGAAACACGAAAGCCGGCTGTGAGCCAGTGTGGGTGAGCCTTCTGACTTTATAGAAAAAACCACCACTACTACCACCAAGACCTTTTCATTTCAGTGCACCCACTAAATACAGGAACAGGACCCAATAACTTCGATCCTTTTCTGCAACAGATGTCCCATGAGGCAGAACCTGGTCACTCAAACATGAAAAGATCCAAGGTCATTGACTTCTAAGAGGATCGGAGCTAACCCAGTGACTGAGCTCTTTCTGTAAGCCGCTCCATGCCTTCCGAAGCTCCTCCTACTCCCCAGCCTGCCCTCAGAAAACGGCAATTTTAAAAATGACAAAATAATTCTTATATAGTTTCTAAAAAACAAACCCTACAATGATACCTAAAAATACAGAAACTGCTCCAGCTGGAATCTTCTTTCCGGGTTTGGAGGATGAAGACACTAAAATGAGGAAGAATGAGATAACCATTTCAACAAAGAAAGTAACTTTTCTTGTTAAATGCACCTTCCTAAAATATATGCAACACGATAAATAGCTAATAAAAGGCCCATTAGAGCTAACTTTTCCCAAAAGAGGCATTTTAAAATTCCTCTCTACTGACGACTACTTTCTTGTACTAATGCATTCTCAGTGGTGACTGCCATGGAAAATCACTGTGACTGGGCAGACGGGGTTGGCTGGAGAGGCCAAGGAAATGCAGAGCAGTGGGGGCAGGGGCAAAGCAAGCGGGGCTCCTCCACAGTGCCCCTCTACCCATTCCTGTTTGTGAGAATGAACAAGGAAAAAAAGCAAAAAGTGAAAACATCTGTGAAAAAAATGAAGACAATACCAGGAACAAAGGAAAGAGGCAAGTCACCAACCGATGCCAAAAAGTGGAGAGCAGGAACGACGACAATCAAGGCAGCATCGTAGCAAGCCCCAAATCCAACAACTTGTGGCCTGAGGAGACCAAGTTGCTTAAAATAACTAATTCCCAACCCCCAAGAACTACCACAGATCTAAAGGAATACCATTTGTAAGATTTTAAATTTTTTTGTGTGCTTTTTAAAAAGTCCAGATTATAATCACACTCAGCTGGGGAATTACTGATCTCAATTTCCATGCAGAATTTTAGGAATGTTTCTTTAAATTAAGTTGATTAAATTAAAATATCCTCAATACTGATAGACATTCATAAAATCAAACAGGAAAATACTCTAAGAGGTAAACTTGTGGTGTGGGTTTACAGTTGGTACTCTTTGTTTTTTCTCAGGCAAGAATTAGTGCAAATAAACTACTTTCAACTAGACCAAGGCAAACACAAGTTTCTTCCCTAACAAAACAGCAGGTTTGGGAACAACCTCAGGGATCCCGCCTCCTAATGGGAAGTGAGCCGTTTTGGAATCTGTACAAAGAAGCACAGGAACCTCCGTCCAAGCTCACCTTCGTTAGCAGCGGCTCCAGCTCCTTGGCTTCGAGGGGCTCCCACGAAGAGGTCACTCTGGTTGTGATATGGATACAACAGAATTCAAAAAGCAGAGGCAAAGGTAGCTGCATTTGAGGCTTTCTAAAGAAAACTACCTTGTAAAGTTTAAAGATACATATATACTGTTTTGCCAGAAAATCAGTTCCAAAGTGAAGACTATGGCAAAATCAGACCCTTAAATAAGTTAGGTCTGTCCAGGAATTAATTACAAATGTGGAAGAAGAATAGAGAGATAAGCCCTAGCCAGTTTAGCTTAGTGGATAGAGCATCGGCCCATGGACTAAAGGGTCCTGGGTTCCATTCTGGTCAAGGGCACATGCCAAGGCTGCGGGCTCGATCTCCAGTAGGGGGCGTGCAGGAGGCAGCCAATCAATGATTCTCTCTCATCATTGATGTTTCTATCCCTCCCTCTCCCTTCCTCTCTGAAGTCAATAAAAATATTAATAAATAAAATAAAATATTTAAGTAAAATATTTTAAAAGAACAGAGTAAGAAACAACTGCCAATCAAGTAAATTGTTCACTATTAATACTCTCCCATCCTCTCCCCACCTAACAAAGGGCACCAGGATATTACAACCTCTCTCTTGTGGTTCTTAGTCCAAAATCTCCCCAAATATAAAAGCAGAAGCAACTTCCAACTAAGAAGCCATCTTTTCCCCCTCAAGGAACCAAGTGTATTTCTTCCACAACACAGCTATGGAGGGCTTCAGGTTAGCAATGACTCACCTCCTCATCCTCATCATCAAAAAGCCCCTTCCCTCCACTGAACAGACCACCTCTGGAGCCAAATGGCGAGAAGTCCTCATCGGTCAGCTTGGGGGGTGTGAACAAGTTATCTTCTTCATCTAGCAAACAGAAAGAAGGTTTTGCAGGGAGAGTTTAAGCTGGGGTTGGAACTCAAATTCCAGAGGTCAGCCTTTACAACTTCTCTGAAAGTGGCATGAAGTTTACCTAACCATATGTAACAAGGGTTATTTGAATGTCAGCAGTCTGAGAAATTTCAAACAAAAACTCATTAAACAGTCCACTAAATCTCTTACAAGGCTCTCTCGGTTCCCACCTCAAGTCTGTAAACCTCTGGAGCAGGTAAGTTCTGTACTTGATCCCCTTCATCTACATTTACTTCTTTTGAAGCAAGTGTATCATTCCATTGCCATTCAAGACCCATCCTACTAAGAATTTGAGGGAAGGGGCAGACTAAACACCAACACATTACTATTTAATATGAAAGAGCCTCATATATTGTTTAAAAAATGCTAGAGTTCCCTAGTTTTTATACTTCTAGAGAATTCCAGAAAGACAGCTACAAATTCTAGTAAAATAAGTAAATCAAATCTTCACAGCATTTTTCCTCCCCATCTATCTCTCCTGCAAAAGCATGCTTTTAAATGCTCTAAAAAAACAAATGGACAGACCACATTTGTTAAGCACTTAAAGTGCACTTCATGAATTATGTGACATTCCTGAGTTAAGAGACACCTAAAAAAACAGAATTGGGTGATGCTAGAAAAATGGCAGCATGAGAGGTCTCCTTAATCTCTTCCCTTAAAGTTTCAACAACTTGACAAGCCATAATTCAACAAAGGATTCTTTGTTCAACGCACAAATACATCTGAGAGATCATGCATTAAAACTTCTAAAGGTGGGCAAATGGGAGCAAATCAAGAAGGTGGGAAAAGAGAAGAGCTAAGATGATGCCAAAGACACAACCCAGAGCTCGCAGCCCTGAGGTCTCTGCAGGACTCAGCCCAAAAAGAGGAAAAGAATCAGGTTGCCATTGGCACTCCCTTCAGCCAGGAGCGGAGAGATAGTGAGCATTCCTGCAGGAGTCGTCTGGAGGAGCTGCAGCTGAACACAGTGGCCTGGCAGGAATGAAGCACAGAGGTGCAGTCATGGTTGTCTGGCAATCGGCATTTAAGACAGAGAAACCAAGCCATGGAGCCTGGCTGCCTCCCCTTTTCCTCCGGGAGCTGGCAGAAGGCCCCAGAAGAAGCTATAGAAGTGAGTGTCTGGTTGCAGAGCACACTGTCTGCAAACCAGAGAACTTGGTACTACAGAAATATGTTTCCCCTTAGCAACAGGTGCACTCTGCACTCACCCCAGTGTCAGGTGCAGATACACAGAGAGGCTGCTGAGGTCTGCCAGTCACCATTACAGGACAGCAAAGCAACAAAGGCAGCAGCCAGCTTCCCCAGCTCACCCTAACCCCACCCATCACAGCTGCATTACTGGCAGCATCTGGGGACAGGGAATAGCACTGGGATTTGGAACCCCACCACCCACCACATTCCTTCATGGGATTGGTCCCTGAGACTCAGGGGACCTGAACACAGATGACACCCACCTCCCCAGGAAACACAGGATATTTTCCGCCACTCCACAGAGATCTGAAAAGCAAGAGTAGTGCAAGAGAACTAAATAACTTGTGCTTCAAGGTCACCTACTAGAGAACAGGAAGGCTTCTTATCAGTGTACTGGAGAAGTGCCACCCATACATCAACGCCCAGGCAGCAAAGAAATCCATCAAATACCATGAGTAACCAAGGTCATGAGGCAGCTCAGAAAGAAAATGAAAAAATCCCCAGAAAATAAGCTTAAAGACATGGAGATATGTGATTCAAATGACAGAGAGTTCAAGATTGCAGTTGTAAAATAATTAAGCGAGTTACAGGAAAACACAGACAGGCAGTTTAACCAACTCAGAAATGGGATCAATAAACAAAACAAGTACTTTGCAAAAGAGACCGCAACTTTCAAAAAGAACCAAATACAAATTCTGGAGGTGATGAACTCAATAAGAGAGATAAAGAATGAACTAGTGAGCTTAGGAAAATAGAGCTGACCAGATGAAGGAAAGAATTAGTGATATCAAAGATAGAAATCTAGAAATGACACAGAGAGAAGAAGAGAGACTTGAGCATAAAAAAAAAAGAGAGAGAGAACTCTCCAAGAACTCTCTGACTCCATCAGAAAAAGCAATACCGGAATAACAGGCATACCAGAAAAAGAAAAAAAGAGAACAGAGAGCCTATTCAAACAAATAGTTGATGAGAACTTCCCAAACCTATGAAAAGAACCAGATCCACGAATCCAAGAAGCAATGAGAAAACCTAATTACTTCAATCCAAAAAGGCCTTCTCCAAGACACACTGTATTACAACTGTCAAAATTAATAGCAAAGAAAGAATTCTCAAGGCAGCCACAAAAAAGAAGACAGTAACCTATAAAGAAAATCCCATTACATTATTATCAGATTTTCAGCGGAAACCCTACAAGTTAGGACAGAGTAGAATCAAATAGTCAAACTACTGAGAGAAACAGCCAACAATAATATATCCAGCAAAGTTAGCCTTTAGATATGAAGGAGAAATAAAGGCTTTTCCAGACATATAGGAGCTGAGGAAATTTACCGCCAGAAGACCTCCATTACAGGAAATACTCAAGGAGTTATTTTCCCTGAAACACAGAACAAAAGGTCACAAAACTCGAGTAAGATCACCAACAGGCAAACAGAAGCAGGATGTTACAATGCTTTTTTAGAAGAGGTACTATAGTCCTGCCTGGTGTGGCTCAGTTGGATGGAGCGTCACCCCATGCACCAGAAGGTCTCAGGTTTGATTTCCGGTCAGGGCACATACCCAGGTTGTGGGTTCAATCCCTGGTCAGGGCACATATAGGAGGCAACAGATGCATGATTTTTCTCTCTCACATCAATGTTTCTCTCTGTATATCTCCTACCCCCTTCCTCTCTCTCTAGAATCAATGAAAAATATAGGGTGGCCCCAAAAATAAACATACACACTTGAATAATTATTTCATTTTCAAAATTGAGGTATCAGCTGCTAAAGTATGTATAGACATTTTGGAGATACCCTGTATATCCTCAGGTGAGGATTAAAAAATATATATCCACTACTTTCCTATATAATAACAATGAAACTTCATTAAAAAAAATGGGAAAAAATTCCTTTTGCAACTGCAACAAAAAGAACACCTAGGAATAAACTTAATGAAGGATGTGAAGAACCTATATATTGAAACTATAAAGCATTACTAAAAGAGACTGACACAATAATTGAAATGGAAAGATATTCCATGTTTATGGATTAGAAGAATCAACAGTTAATATGGCCATATTACCCAAAGCAATACACAGATTTAATGCAACCGCCACCAAAATCCCAATGTGGTCCAGCCAGTGTGGCTCAGTTGGTTGAGCATTGCCCCATGCACCAGGAGATGGAAGCTCAATTCCCAGTCAGATTACATACTCGGGTTGCAGGCTCAATCCCCAGTAAGGGGTGTGCAGGAGGCAACAGATAGATGTTTCTCTCTCATTGATATTTCTCTCTCTCTGAAATCAACAAAACCATTTTTTTTAAAAAAATCCCAATATGATTTTATAAAGAAATAGAACAAAAGAGAATCATCAGATTTGTATAGAACCACAAAAGATCCCGAATGGCCAAAGCAATCCTGAGAAAAATAAACAAAGAGGGAAGTATCACACTACCTGACTTCAAATTATACTACAGAGCTACAATAATCCAAACAGCATGGTACTGGCAGAAAAAGAGATACAGTGACCAATGGAACACAACTGAGAGTCCATAAATAAAACCATATGTATATGGACAAATAATTTTCATCAAAGGAGCCAAAAACATGAAATGAAAAAAAGACTTGCCCGGCCCATGTGGCTCAGTGGTTGAGCGTCGACCTACAAACCAGGAGGTCAAGGTTTTATTTCCGGACAGGGCACATGCCCTGGGTTGCAGCTCCATCCCCAATAGGGGGTGTGCAGAAACCAGCCAATCAATGATTCTCTCTGATCATTGCTGTTTCTATCTCTTTCTCCCTCTCCCTTCCTCTCTGAATAAAAAAAAAAAAAAAAAAAGACCCTTCAATAAATGGTTCTGGGAAAACTGCAAAGCCACATACAAAAAAATAACACTATACTACTATTTATCACCATACACAAGAATTAACTCAAAATAGATCAAAGACCTATATAGAAGACCTGAAATAACCCTACATAATAAAAGCCTAATACAAGGTTCAACTGAGAGTTCGATCACTTGCTATGACATGTGCTGACCACCAGAGGGCAGTGCAGAACACATGGCAGGCTTAGGTGATGCGGCGCTGGCAGCGGGGTGGCAATGGAGGCACTGCGGCCCTGATGGGAACAGGACCGCAGCAGGATGGTGGGAGCAGGTGAGCGGGCAGGACAGGTCAAGGCGGTGCGAGCAGGGGGCCCTATCACTCTGCTGATCACCCCGCAGACTGCAACCAGCAGCAGTGATGGGGAGTGGGGCCTGCCGCCTGGTCCCAGGCACTGAGGAGCCGGGCGGGAGGCCCAGCCCTGATCGATCGCCCGCAGATGGGATGCTGGGGCAGTGAGGGGCAGCACCAGGCAAAGGCAGCGTGCCAGGCGGGGCTGCGGGGCTGCGGGGCTGCAAGGCTGGGGGCGCGAGGTGGGACCCAATCTCCACAAGCCACCCCGAGGGACTCCACCCATGCACGAATTCGTGCACCAGGCCTCTAGTAAATTATATAAAAGAAAACATAGGTACTAAACTTATGTTCCTTGGTCATAGAGAAGATTTTATAAATTTGACCCCAAAGGCAATGGAAATAAAGGCAAAAAGCTTCTATACAGCAAAGGAAATTGTTAACAAAACAAAAAGACAACCAAATGGGAGAAGTTATTTGCAACCAACAGCTCTGACAAGAAGTCAATATCCAAAATACAGGCATAGGCAAAATTAGGTTTACAGTTGTGAGTATGCAATTTATTCTTGTATCATTTATTAATTACTGTATTATATTCTATACGAACAGCTACAAAACTACTTTTTCCCATCCCCGTATATAAAGAACTCATAAAATTCAACACCAAACAGACAAGCCAATTAAAAAATAGGCAGAGGATAGCCAACAGATTAATGAAAAAATGTTCAACCTCTTTAGCTATTAGGGAAATGCATATCAAAATTACAAAAGCCCTGGCTAGTTTTGCTCAGTGGTTAGAGTGTTGGCCTGCAGACCAAAGGGTCTCAGGTTCAAATCACAGTCAACGGCATGTACCTTGGTTGCAGGTTCAATACCCAGTCCTGGTTGGGGCACGTGCGGGAGACAACCAGTCAATGTCTCTCTCACATCACTGTCTCTCTCTCTTTCTCTCTCTCTCTTTCTTTCCTCTACCTCCCTCCCTTTCACTCTCTCAAAAAAATCAATGAAAAAAAAATATCCTCAGGTGAGGATTTAAAAAAACACTATAATGAGATACTATTTCACACCTGGTAAAATGGCTATTATCAACAAGACAAGTAACAGCAAGTATTGGAGAGGTTGTGGAGAAAAAGGAACACTCGTTCAGTGCTGATGGGAATGCAAAGTGCCACAGCCACTCTGAAAAACAATGTGGAAGCTCCTCAAAAAATTAAGAATAGTGTTACCACATGACCCAGCAACCCCTCTTCTGGCTATCTACCAGAAATACTCGAAAACATCCTACCCTATATAATAAAAAGCTAATATGCAAATTGTCCCTTCGACTGGGAGTTCAACCAGGGGGCAGGGCCGGCCTGCTAATTGCCTGTGGCCCCACCCTCCTGCCAGCCGGACCCCATGAGCGCACAAATTCGTGCACCGAGCCTCTAGTTTATTGATAAAGATACATGCACCCCTATGTCCATTGCAGCATTATTCATGGTGGCCAAGACATGGAAACAACTGAAGTGTTCTTCAACAGATGACTGGATGTGTTACATATATACCACTCAGCCATAAGAAAAGATGAAATATTGCCATTTGCAACAACATGGATGGATCTTGAGAATATCATGCTAAGCAAAGTAAGTCACAGAAAAGTTAAGAACCATATGATTTCACTCATATGTAGGATATAAAACTAAAAGCAACAAATAAACAAACAAAAAAACAACAAAAACTCATAGATAGACAACAGTATGGTGGCTACCACAGGGAAGGGGTTGGGGATAGGGAAGGTAAAGGGGATCAAAAATATGGTGACGGAGATGTGACTTTGGGTGGTAAACATACAACGCAATATACAGATGATGCATCCTAAGATTGTACACTTGAGGCCTGTATAATCTTATTAACCAATTTCACCACAATAAATTTAATTCAAAAAAATAAAATAAAGAGGACCCTGGAGGCACTTTGTTAAAAGAAATGAATTGAGAGAAAGGCCTACCATCTGAGGGAGTTCTTCTTTCCTTCTTCTCTTTCAGTGTCTTCTGAGGTTTCGCTTCTGTAGATAAGGCTTGAAGAATATGTCACAGTTTTAACCATACTCTGTCTATGCTTAGTACCTATCTATTGATTTTGTACACATGTATCTGCCATCCTCATGACTCCTAAGCTCAGAGCAAGCCATTCAACTTTAAACTTCAGCTCCACCTGACCACTTCGGGCAGTGCCTGAAAAAGGTGCCTCTTTTTAAGCAAAAAGCCTCAACTTACATATTAGGGTCACATGCATAACTGGTCTGCACCTGCTGAAAGAACTGTCCTGACATATTCCCACCCTGTTAAATCATTAGAATACACTGTACAGTGCAGTTTCATTTGGTCAAGATAGTGGAGTAAATATTGAGCCAGGGATTCTTAATCTGGGGCCCATGCTTCTCTGAGGTATCCATTGATCCCCTGAAATTGCATATACAATGTTATATAAATACATATTGTGCACTTGGGGTGGGGGCCCACTGTGTTTAGTTATCAAAGAGTATAACCAAAAACAGAATAAGAAGTACAATGTAAGTCTCTTGTGCTTTAGTAAACCTAAACAGAAAACTCTGCCCTCAGAGAAGTTTCTGTTCTTCCCACCACCACCGTGTTAACTCATCTCAAGGTGGGAAGGAGGAGTACCTCTTTGTTCCTCTTCCATCTGGCTGGTGGCACCCACTTTGATCCGAGCAGCAAGCTCATCAGCAAAGGACGTGGGTCTTTTCTACAGGCAGAAGAGACCGAAAGAATCACTTTTTGTAACATACAAAGTAGTACAGTTTACTTTTGAATATTTAACCAAATTTTCTAAATAATGGCAAAGAAATTGAAATGATGAGAAAACAACGTTTAACTAATTGAATTTAAACAGATGTACTCTAGGTGATGAACACACAATACAGTGCACAGATAGTATGTTGTGGAATTGTGCACCTGAAAGCTGAGTAATTTTGTTAACCAAGGTCACCCCAATAAATTCAATATAAAGGGGGAAAAAAAGAAAAATGATAAGGTGGTGAAGGCCTAGGGCGGGGGGCAGCAACGGGCTGGAGGGGGTCAATGAGGGGAAGAGGGAGACATATGTAATACTTTCAACAATAAAGATTAAACAATAATAATAATAAAATAAAGAAAAATAAACATATGCACCCTATACAGATCACCTGAGATGGGTGTTCCTTCGAAGAGAAGTGCTCCATATTTCTTTATTTTTTTATACTTCAAAGAGCTAGGTATAAGAAAACTATCATGAAGTCTTTGGGGTGGGGGGGGGAGAGGAAGTATTAGGGTCTTAAAACTCTGGAAATGAATATATTTTAAATGATCTGACTTGTAAAACTGTAACATTTGAAACAGAAAGTGATACTGGCTAGGTAACCTGAGATGTTCAACCATTATTTTTAAAAGTGTAATTGAAAATACAAATATGATGTAAAATAAGATGGTTACAAATATAAACACAATACAAGGAATGAGGCTATTTTCTTACAGGTCTAGGATTCTCTTCAATGTCCTCAATATCTTCCTCCTCCTTCTCAGAGTCAGCGAAGATGTCACAGCCATCATCATCCTCTTCTTCATCACTCATTTGTGCAGTGTGCTAAGAGTATAAACCACCAGATTAGAATTGTTAGATAAGGTCACCGAGCTGAAAAAGAGATACTGCTACTTAGCTTTTTGGCAAAAGTGTAAGTTCATTAAATGCAGCAAAAATTATGAAGCAGTACATGTGCTAGAACAAATAATACACATTTATTTTTAGCACAAGAATAGTAACATGAGATATTAAAAATATCCATCACTAGAGAAATGATTAAACTAAATCAGTATCATCCCATCTTAATAAGAATACTAATACTCAGTAAGAATAGTAAAGGAGTTAGAGAGCCGGACATCTGGCTTGCGAGTGGGAATTTCTGTGTCGCGCGCGACTAACGAGCGATTTTAAAATAGGTGATGTTGAGAAGGGCAAGAAGATTTTGGTTCAGAAGTGTGCCAGTGCCATACTGTGGAGAAGGAAGGCAAGCACAGGACTGGGCCAAATCTCCATGGTCTCTTTGGGCGAAAGACAGGTCAGGCCCCTGGATTTTCTTACACGGATGCCAACAAGAACAAAGGTATCACCTGGGGAGAGGCTACACTGATGGAGCATTTGGAGAATCCCAAGAAGTACATCCCTGGAACAAAAATGCTCTTCGCTGGCCTTGAGAAGAGTGCAGAAAGGACAGACTTGATAGCTTATCTCAAAAAAGCTACTCATGAGTAATAGCTGGCCACGGCCTTGTTTGTGACAAGGTCTCATGACTTTTTTTATGTGTACCATATTTAAATTGCCTTCCTACATCAGAATTCAGAGCATGAATGGCTGATAGAGCATTTCTTCTGGGCAGTCCTGATTTAAATGAGATTGGCTTGTGGTTAAATGAATATGGCCAGCTTTTTGAGCTTTGGTGGTAATTTCGGTCCAGCAAACCCTGTCGTTGTCCTTCCTTCTAAAAATATGATTGGACTTGATTCCTAGTGTTCAACTTTTCACAGAGGTGGTGAGTGCCATCTCAGAACCTACAGGAGACTGGCTTACATTTAGATTTCTATGACTGGCTGTGTGAATATGTTTACATTCTGAGGAAAGCCCTTCACTGTCTCTGAGACCTGCAAGACTAGCTGGTGTTTCAGGTTGTGTTCCTCGGCCTGTTAAAAGGAAGGGCGGCAGGTAAGCTGGCAGTGATCATTTTCTCTCTTTGGTCCCAACTATGCCAATTTAATAAAATTCCCTTTATCTAAACCGTTGCCTTTTACTGAATGAAAGGCATTTTAGTGTGGTTTACGTATAATAACAAATAAAGAGTATTTAACACTTCTATGTTTCATAGATAACCTTTAAGGCCAGATGCTTTTAAAATTCAGCGTGACAAGGTATAGTAGCAAACTTTGTGAATTCTTTAAGTCAGACTAAGTTATAATTCAGGATTGTCTTTTTTTTTTCTTTATTGGTTAAGGTATTACATATGTGTCCGTAACCCCCCATTGTCCCCCCTCACCCCCCTCAGGATTGTCTTGAATAGCTATTCACTGACAATAGATGTGTGTGATTGGTAATGGTGCTTTTTGCCAGCTCACTAGGATTAAAGTAGAGAATAGATCATCAACACAAAATGATAAATCATGTCATCATAAGGCTTAAGATAATTAAAAACAAAGTCACAGATTTAAAAAAAAGGATTACTAAAAGGATAATTTGTAACAATTGAAGAGCTATCCAAGGAATCAAGTGAAAAAACTCTGAATGATAAACTCAGTATGATACTCTGCACCCCCCTCACCCCTACGCCATCTGCACGGGCACAGGTATACTTGTAAAAACAAAGAAAAACACTTGAATATATACACTGCCAGATCATAACACCAGTTACCTCTGAAGATGTGAGAGGATGAAGACTGGAGGGCTCAAACTAAGCTTTATCTGTGAAGCTCTAAATTTTATAAAAGCAGCCACTGGTGACCGACCAGTGTGGCTCAGCAGTTGAGCATAGACCTATGAACCAGGAGGTCATGGTTCGATTCCCGGTCAGGGCACATACCCAGGTTGCAGGTTTGTAAGATGTGCAGGAGGCAGCTGATCAATGTCTCTCTCATTATTGATGTTTCTATCTCTCTCTCCCTCTCCCTTCCTCTCTGAAACCAATAAAAAATATATATTTTTTTAAAAAGCAGCCACTGGTATAATTGTTTTAAAGAATGTCTAAAGTTTAAATTAGTTCAAATTAATTATATATTCTTTCTACTTTGCATCTGCAAGCATTTGGTGAATAAAAAACAGTAATCTAGTTACTAAAAAATAAAAATAAAAAAATTTAAAAAATGCCAGGCACCATGCTAAAAATCTTTAGAATTCTGAGGTTAACTGTGGCACACAAAAATAGTCCATCTTTAACAATACAAACAAATGGTAAGCCAATGCTTTTAATCACTATATTGTATTGTTTGAAAAACTGTCTGAATTTACAGATCTTAATGGCAAATTCCACAGAAAAAAATTTGAGTTATTAAAACTATAGAGATTAGCCACATACAACTGGGAAAATACAAGTACCAACCAATAAGTACTAAATCCTTCAATTGACAGCTGAAAATTTTTATAAACAAATATTTCCCACCCTGGCCAGTGATGGTCAAAGGTTAGAGCATCAGCCCGGTTCAATTCCTAATCCATAGCATGTACATGGGTTACAATACAGGTTCAATTCCCGGCCCCCCCTTGTCGGGGAGCAGGCAGGAGGCAACCAATCAACTTCTTTCTTTCTCTCTCTCTCTCTTTTTTCTTCCTTCCTTCCTTCCTTCCTTCCTTCCTTCCTTCCTTCCTTCCTTCCTCCCTCCCTCCCTCCCTCCCTCCCTCCCTCCTTCCCTCCCTCCCTCCCTCCCTCTCTTCCCCCTTCCCTACATCCTTCCACTCTCTCTAAAAATCAATGAGCCTTAGCCGGTTTGGCTCAGTGGCTAGAGAGTCGGCCTGCGGACAAAAGGGTACCAGGTTCGATTCCCATCAAGGGCACATACTTCAGTTGCAGGCTTCTCCCCGGCCCAGGCCCTGGTCAGGGCTCATGCAGGAGGCAACCAATCGATGTGTTTCTCTCACATTGATGTTTCTCTCTGTCTTTCTCTCTCCCTAAAAAATCAATGGAAAAATATCCCCGGGTGAGGATTAACAAAAAATATATATTTCCCAATTAGGAAACAAATGCAAATTGGGACAATCTCTCTATACCAGCGTACATATATCATAGTAGCAGAACTCGTAACCCCTGTGCTGAGGAGATTGTAGGAAAATCATTATGCAGGATCTGTAACTTGGAATGTCCATCCAATTGTAAATATCGAGAGTCTTTAGTATAACTCTACACAACCTTATGCCTAAGAAAGCAATTCACATAAGCAAAGGAGCTTTCTGTATGAAAATACTGAATACATCATTATCTCAAAAAAAAAATCCTAAAAACAAGCCATTTTCCATATACATTTAGAGACTATGACAGCATCATATATTAGTGTGCTTAAAAATATAGTTTAGCCTGACTGACATGGCTCAGTGGTTGAGCATCTACCTATGAACCACGGTTCAATTCCCGGTCAGGGCACATGCCCAGGTTGTGGGCTCAATCACCAGTGTGGGGCATGAAGGAGGCAGCCGATCAATGAGTCTCTCTAAATCATTGATGTTTCTATCTCTCTCTCCCTCTTTCTTCCTCTCTGAAATCAATAATAAAAATATATTTTAAAAGAACAACAGAAGTTTAGCCTGGCCTGAGTGGTTCAGCTGGCTGAGTGCCATCCTGTGCACCACAAGACTACTGGTTTGATTCCAAGTCAGGGCACATACCTGGGTATGGAATTCAACCAATCCATGTTTCTCTCTTAATGGGTGCTTCTCTCTCTCTCTCTCTCTCTCTCTCTCTCTGTCTGTCTGTCTCTCTCTCTCTCTCTCTCTCCTCTCTCTAAGCATGTCCTCAGGTGTAGATTAAAAAATTTACACACACATATACAGGGGTGGGCAAAAATAGGTTGACAGTTTTGAGTACATGAAACACATCTATATATATAAAAGCCTAAGCGACCTTTATGACCGGACAACCGGCCAGTAGCTATGATGCACGCTGACCACCAGGGGGCAGATGCTCAATGCAGGAGCTGCCCCCTGGTGGTTAGTGCACTCCCACAGCCAACCTCCTCCGGTCCCTCCCCCCGGCGGGCCAACCTCCCGCAGGGCCCCTCACCCCCCAGCCCTGACTAGCGGCTGATTGGCCCTGATCGCTGGCCAGGCTAAGGGACCCCACCCGTGCACAAATTTGTGCACTGGGCCTCTCGTAGTTAATAAAGCTCTTATAATAATCATAACCTGCATGTCTTTTCCCATACAAACAACTATAAACCTAGTTTTGCCAACTTCTGTATATAGAAGTTTACAAAGCAAATTACAAAGACTATTTAAAGTGACAAGTACAAGGAAAAACTTATTATTAATATAAAGTAGCAGAAAATAAATTATGTATATATGACAAAAAGAATACATCCTTAGTAGGATACAAAAAAAAATTTTTTTTTCTTTTTCTTTTTTTAATCCTCACCCGAGGATATTTTTCCATTGATTTTTAGAGAGAGTGGAAGAGAGAGGGGAAAACAGAGAGAAACATCAATGTGAGAGAAACACATCGATTGGTTGCTTCCTGCAGAAGCCCTACCAGGGCCCAGGCCAGGGAGCAGCCTGCAACTGAGATACGTGCCCTTGACCTGAATTGAACCCAGGACCCTTCAGTCTGCAGGCCGACACTCTATCCACTGAGCCAAACCGGCTAGGGCAGGATATAAAAAATTAAGACAATGATATTAACACAGTAAGATTAGAAGATTCTTTTGAGCCTTATTGTTACTGCTATACTGTCTCACATTTTAAAATGGAGAGAGGGATTCAGTTTGGGTAACGGGCTATCTTTTAGAGGTTCTGCTTCCCAATTTTGTTTTTTGCTTCTTTTTTTTCTGAGAAAAATTAAGATAAAACTATAAAGTAAAATTATATAAATATGCATACATATGTATGGAAGTAGCCTAAAAACATGAAATTATTGAAGGAAAATTAGTTGTAAATATGAATAAATCCTTATTTTCTCATAAGTCATTCAAAAGTAATTTTAGTACCTAGTTAGTATGCTTCAATTAACTTCTAAAAGTAAAATCACTTTAATATATGAGCCTTACCTGGGTTGGATCATTGTCACTATGATTGGCAAAATCTTCCTCTGACTCCTTTAGGGGGAAAAAGGCTTTGTTGTTAATAGAGGTTTTACTTAGAAGCACAGAAGTAATTTCGGGTCTAAGTCTTTGGGGCTCCTCAACACTCAGTCTCTACTGATACTGGTCACCTGAGCATCAAGGTTTACATGAGGTGGATAGCTGACAATATCGCGTAGGGCTGTTCCAGGCAACATGTAATTTTTTGTGGTTAATTAAAACATCTCTAACAATTTGTTCATGTCCATCTGCACTATCCACTGGATTTAAAGTAAGAGTTGCATATTTAATTAACTAAATTATCCAAAATTGGTTTGTGTTACTTTACTTTTTATACTCCATTCTCTAGATTCCCTTCTAAATAGGATAACTACTTCATCAGGCCCAAGAAGAAAACATCAGTGTTTGCCACCAGCAATTAAGTAAAGGCTTGTATTGATGGCTAAAAGCAAAGGATTCAGCTCCTGGCCATCAGTTATGGCGAGGTTATTTAAGAAAAGATCATTTCCCATTGTTAGGTGTTTTGTTTGAAGGGCTGGCTGAAGGAGGGCAGGGGAAGAGGATGAGAGAAAAGAGAGGAGACAAGTATATGCATACAATGCCGTCTCCTTTTAGAAATTTACGCTCAAACATCTCTAACCTTTGCAATAACGGATATTCTGTCTAAAGGAACAAAGCCAGATACAACAGTGGTCAAGATCCACAGACCCTGAGGTACTAGAGCAGAGTCAGGTTACACTCTGGATATGAAGATGCTAGTGGCAACAACACAGCTAACTCTAAGCATTACTCTGGTCTAGAAGGTTTTATAATAAAGGTTTCAACAGTGTACATTTTTCCTAAAATTATTCAAAGATAAAACTTACTCAAAGACTGTATGTCAGAAAGAGATCCCACCAAAATATCTAAGCTGCCCTTTCAAAATTTCCTATATAATAAAAGGCTAATATGCAAATCGAGCAAATGACAGAATGAACGGTCGCTATGATGCACACTGACCACTAGGGGGCAGACACCCAATGCAGGAGCTTCCCCTGGTGGTCAGTGTGCTCCCACAGGGGGAGTGCCACTCAGCCAGAAGCCCTGAGCTGGGCTCATGGCTGGCAATCGCAGCGGCAGTGGTGGGAGCCTTTCCCGCTCTGCAGCAGTAATAAGGATGTCCGACTGCCCCCAAGGGCTCCTGGACTGCGAAAGGGCGAGGGCCGAGCTGAGGGACCGCACCCCCACCCCCCGAGTGCACGAATTTCGTGCACTGGGCCTCTATTATTAGTATAAAGAGGATTTGGTGGGGAGGTGAAGGGAGAGAAATGGTAAAAGGGATTAAAGCAGTTTTCCTTGTTTTTGTTCACAAGACATAAATGAAATCCAATCCCAAGGAAAAAACTTCACAATATGGCTTCTCTCACCCTTGAAAGGTTTATGAAGACATACTGCTAATTCACAAACATGTTATTTACTTAGCCTGCTAAACACACCCTAAGTCTCCTGCCAATCATGACCTGGACACACTGAACAGTCCTTACCTCTTCTTCATTCTCTTCTTCGCTGTCCACAATGCTGCCACGATTGCTGCCTACTGAACCTTCTGTTTAGAAGAAAGATAAGGTTATCACAAATATTCTTAAGAAAATGTGCTTAGTTTCTTCTCAAAATCACAAACCACCATATAGCAGCATCACAGAAATGCTTATAAAACTAGCTATACTGCCCTAACCGGTTTGGCGCAGTGGAAAGAGCATCAGCCTGCGGACTGAAAGGTCCCAGGTTCGATTCTGGTCAAGGGCATGTACCTTGGTTGTGGGCACATCCCCAGTAGGAGGTGTGCAGGAGGCAGCTGATCAATGTTTCTCTCTCATCGATGTTTCTAACACTCTATCCCTCTCCCTTCCTCTCTGTAAAAAATCAATAAAATATATTTTAAAAAAACAAAACAAAAAAACTAGCTATACCATTAACTGGAATTAAAAGTATCTTATAGTGAGGAATGAAATATTTATATAGCCTCAAAGTATCTCCCCACAAGATACTTATTAATTACAAAAAAATTATGAAAAATAAAGAAAAAAACTAGCCTGTACTCTTCAAAGATGTCATGGTTTTTTTTTTAACAACTAAATGCAGCGAGCAACCCTGGATCCAAATCAGAGGAAAGAAGTGACATAGAGGACATCATGGGGACAACTAGCAAAACTTGCACGTGACCAAGGATTAGCTAATAGTATTATGTCCACTGAAATGTCCTGACTTTGCTCATGATAGTGTGGCTGTATAAGAGAATGTCCTGTTCTTAGAAAATATACACAGAAATATTCAGAAGTGATAGCGATAATGTCTGCTTGCTGTCTCTCAAACAGGTTCAGAAAAAAATAGTATGTATATACATAGAGAAAGACAAAACAAATGTGGCAAAATGTTAACAACTGGTAAAGCTATGTGATATGTGAGGGTTCTGGTACTATTCTTACAACATTAACGTAAAGTTTGAAATTATTTTAAAATAAAATGATAGAAATGTTAAAAGTTACTAAAGTATTTGGTGCAAAGAATACCTTCACTGGATAGTTCTCCAAGACCTACGTCTTCTTGCTCCATGAACAGCTTTGACCCAATTAAATAAGGTAAAGGACGATCAATGTACAGATCCTGTGAAAAATAATAGAAAATAAGTCATTAAAGCCCTGACCGGTTGCTCAGTGGTTAGAGTACCATTCTGCGCACTGAAGGGTCACGGGTTTGATGCCCGGTCAAAGGTATGTACCTGGGTTGCAGGTTCAATCCCCAACCCTGGTTGGGTGTGTGCGGGAGGCAACCAATCGATGTGTCTCTCTCACATTAATGTTTCTCTCTCTCCTTTCCACTCTCTCTCTAAACCAGTGGTTCTCAACCTTCCTAATGCTGCAACCCTTTAATACAGTTCCTCATGTTGTGGTGACCCCCAACCATAAAATTATTTTCGTTGCTACTTCATAACTGTAATGTTGCTACTGTTATGAATCGTAATGTAAATATCTGATATGCAGGATATATTTTCGTTGTTACAAATTGAACATAATTAAAGCATAGTGATTAATCACAAAAACAATATGTAATTATATATGTGTTTTCCGATGGTCTTAGGCGACCCTTGTGAAAGGGTCGTTCGACCCCCAAAGGGGTCGCGACCGACAGGTTGAGAACCGCTGCTCTAAAAAAAAAAAAATCAATGAAAAAATATCCTTGGGTGAGGATTAACAGCAGCAACAAAAAAAGCAGCATTGGTAAGCAAAAAATCAACCTTTTGTTTTTATTGATTTCAGAGAAGAAGGAAGAGGAAGATAGATAGAAACATCAATGATGAGAGAGAATCCTTGATCAGCTGCTCCCCCCCTACTGGGGATCAAGCCTGCAACCCAGGCATGTGCCCTCAACCAGAATCAAACCTGGGACCCTCCAGTCCGCAGGCCAATGGTCTATCCACTGAGCCAAACCAGCTAGGGCTCAACCAATCGATCTTGAGAATCCTCAATAAGAGCCCTAAATCTGGAGAGAAGCACACCAAGGAAATCACCCAAATGGTTTTCAATGACTACTAGAGGCCTGGTGCACAAATTCGTGCACCAGTGGGGTCCCTCAACCTAGCCTGCGGGATTGGGCTGAAACTAACTCTCCAACATCCCCCGAGGGGTCTTGGATTGCGAGAGGGCGCAGGCCAGGCCAACGGATTCCACCAGTGCACTACTGGAGCCAGGGAGGGACATGGGAGGTTGGCCAGCCAGGGAGAGACCGTGGGAGGGCTCCAGGGCATGTCCGGCCCATCTTGCTCAGTCCCAATCGGCCAGACCCCAGCAGCAAGCTAACCTACTGGTCTACTATCTGCCCCCTGGTGTTCAGTGCACATCATTGCGAGCAGCTGAGTGGCCTCAGCATATCATTAGCATATTATGCTTTGATTGGCTGAATGGACGACTAGACATTTAGCATATTGGGCTTTTATTATATAGGATGAGAAGGTAGGTAGGTATGTCCCAGTTTTAGGCAGGAAGTATGGACAAACAGGTCACAAACAAGGCACAAAGGGACTCGAGGCCTCCTTCACACTGCATCAGAGAGCCAAGGAGAAGGCTGGGGGAGAGCACATGAAGCATGGCTAGAGGGAAAAAAAGAACAACAAGTATGCAAATATCTATAGTCAACATAATGAACATATGTCTAAGATGGATGTGAACCTATCTGGGAGAAAAAAAAACTTAAAAGAGAATAATAATATCCCCCAGATATTATACACTCTGTATAACTCAGAAAAGTGAAGCCAGTAAAATAAGACCAGATGATAAAACGTCAGAATGAAATGAAGGAGACAGTGTACATGATAATATATGCTGGAGACCCACCCACCACACACATTAACAATTTAAGGACAAGAAGGCACTCCACCCCTAGGACAACCTCACATCTCCACTGCAGGAGGAAAAGCTGGCTTGTCCTCTGAGAGGCATGGCCGTTGGCCATGACATCCTTCCCTATGGAAAGACCCAGGGATGAGGGAGAAAGAATAGTTCTGATGCTTCACACAACGAAGAGTTTAGGAAGATTAACATAAAGGGTAAAGATACAACAGCAATCAATTCAGTGCAAAGAAAAGAAAGTGATAATTGGGCCCTAGCCAGTTTGGGTCAGTGGATAGAGCGTCAGCCTGTGGACTGAAAGGTCCCGGGTTCAATTCTGGTCAAGGGCATAAGCACGGGTTGCGGGTTTAATCCCCAGTAGGGGGCGTGCAGGAGGCAGCCGATCAATGATTCTCTCTCATCACTGATGTTTTTCTCTCTCTCCCCCTCTCCCTTCCTCTCTGAAATTAAAAATAAAAATTTTAAAAAAGAAAGTGATAATTGGGCACACTGTTTGCTGACTTAGGAGGCCTTCCCAGGTCCTCCTGTGTGGGACTTGGAACTAATAGTGTGGTTAGGGAATACATTTCCCAGGGTCCACTGCTAACTTCTAAATCCCGACAGTAAGAAAGCAAGAATCAGCCCTGACTTGGTATGACACTAAGCTCAAACTGAAAGAGAAAAGTGCAGCTAAATGAATGACAAGAGTAGAGTTTTGTTTTGCAGCCTTTCAATTCGTAAGACACTTGCATGTCACAAGGACTCTCAAAAGCAATATAGCAACTTTTTGTGTTTACTTGAGCCTTCTGATATTGCCCAGTTGTCTCCTTTGACAATCTCAGAGGAAGTAATGGCAAAGCACTAAACACCTATTGGGCTAACAGTCTGCTCATGAGCGTGCAGTTTTATCCACAATGGCCAAAATCTGAAAACAACCCAAATGCCTTCAACACGTTCTGCAGTCTCCCTTAGCACAAGCTACAGAATTCAGGATCACAACAATCTCTACCTTTCATGAGCCTTCTTCTCATTCTTCAAAACACAATTCAAGTCTCTTCTTTACCCTAACTTTCCCAGCGTAGAAATCAGTTCTCTCTCACGGCACTTATGATGGTGACTCTCATAAATGTCTCCTCTCCCCGACAGTCTGGTAATGCTGTAATAAGGATCCTGCGAAGAGGAACCATGCCCTGAAACTTTGTATCCCCTAATGTGGCATGCTGCCTTGTACGCAGGTAAGTGCTCAATCAATGCTCTTGTAAAGCAAGTTTTCCTGATGGAGTCGATATAAGAACGCTGAGTCACATGCTCACTTGCTCAAGTATCCAAAACACAACAGGTGCAACAATAAGTATTTGAACTGCATGTCTTTACCTTTGGTTCGAGGATCAGCTCCACCCGGTCATTAGCATCATCTTCTTCAGAGTCTGAGTTTCCTGCTTTAATATCTAGTTGCTCAAATGCACTGTCCAATACTTGTAAACCGTAGTTCACAGCCTCCCGAACTTTAGGAATCAGATCTATTTCTTTCTGTTCCCGGGTCTTCTCCTACAAAAAAATACTGTTCAGCGTGGATCTTCAATATAGTGATTCCATCATAATAAAACAGTACGAATGTTCTCTAAAGCCTAGACTCATGCTCCAAAAAAATCTTCATTCGAAAGGCTGACGTAATGCTACCAAAAGGCAGATTCTGAGAAATGTCTTGACACTGACTTCGGAGTAAGTTTTAAATCTCAAGTTTGTCACTTTTAGGACAGGGATCGAAGTACCTAAGGCCTCAGGGCTCCAGATTCATCACCTATGAAAACAAAAGCCCTACTGTGTGATGGTTCAGCAAGACAAGTTAGGTGAAAGCACACTAACAGTTAATGGCACTTCGCTTCCCTGGTACTAGAGGAGTGAAGGGCCTAGACTTAGCTTCACCGTAACTGCATCCTACTAACCTTGGTCAATGGTCCTTTGGACAATTTAGGAGTAAAGACCTGGAAGAAAATACTCCACCCAGAGGTGTCATTTTTCAATGACAATTAAAAATAAGAATAATGCCCAGCCAGAGTGGCTCAGTGGTTGAGCGTCAAGGTATGAACCAGGAGGTAGAGGTTGGACTCCTGGTCAGGGCACTTGCCTGAGTTGTGGGCTCCATCCCACAGTAGGGGGCGTGAGGAGGCAGTCCATCAATGATTCTCTCTCATCAATGATGTTTCCATCTCTCCCTCTCCCTTTCTCTGAAATCAATAAAAATATATTTAAAAATAACAATAATAATAACTGGACAAATGCAGTTACTTTAATAAATTTGTTTCAAACCCCAAGAGGGTCAGTTTTGTCTCTCATTTACCCTGTTTCTCATCCTAGAACCAGCTCCCCAACCCGCCCTGAAGTCTGTGTAAAGCACCAACCTGCTGAAAACAGTTCAGTCTTCATTTCCTACAGTAGCAGCTCCCAATGACCATTCCCTCATACACTCAACTATGTCACCAATTTTGAGAAATATTGGGGGGAAAAATGCAGTGTCATTTCCCCTCTTCACAAATATTCTAGAAGATGATACATAATTAGAGAAAGAACCAAACCATACAGCATTGTTTTGAGGGTCAAAGGGAAAACCCTATGAGAACTGACATTTTGATCTAAATATGGAAGTGTTTCTGATTTAGCTTTTTGTTTTGGCTGCACCTTTCTTCCACTCTGGTATGCTTGGTGCTAGTAAATGGTTAACTCTGTACTAAGGGTGTGAACACATGTTTGTGACATAAATATAGTGTCGCTGGCCAGTGTTCTAAGTGGTTAGAGCAACGGCCCATGCACCAAAGGATCTTGGGTTTGATTCCCAGTCAAGGGCACATACCTGGCTTGCAGGTTCGATCCCTAGCCTAGTCAGGAGGCAACCAATCAATGTGTCTCTCTTACATCGATGTTTCTCTCCCTCTCCCCCACACTACCACTCTCTCTAAAAAAATCAATGGGAAAAAATATCCGTAGGTGACGCTTAACAAAAAAATAAAATTAAAAATAGTTCACTGAGCCCAAACTGGTTTGGCTCAATGGATAGAGCGTCGTCCTGTGGACTGAAGGGTCCCAGGTTCGATTCCGGTCAAGGACATGTACCTTGGTTGCGGGCACATCCCCAGCAGGGAGTGTGCAGGAGGCAGCTGATCGATGTTTCTCTCTCATCGATGTTTCTAACTCTCTATCCCTCTCCCTTCCTCTCTGTAAAAAATCAATTAAAAAAAAAACAGTTCAGTGAATACCTTCACTTTAAAATTGAGCCCTGTCTTGGTGGAACTGGATACTATTGCATTTAAAGAGTTAGCAAATCCTTGAGTACTATTAAAAACAGTTCTATTACGAGTAGTACTAGTAAAGGCTTGTTTATTTAAAACAAGGCTGAGAACTGTAGCTGGTTTCTAATATCCTTTCCCCGTCCAACAGTTTCATATGCTACAAGTCACAGTTACTGATAAAGCAGAAAATGATCTATATTTTCTAAATAAGTTAGAGCTGATTCAAAACGCCTCCTATAACAAACTTGGTCACACTGCACTGTGCTTTCCTGAGTGGGAGGAGAAGGGTACAACTTCTGTCAGAGCGCTAGCGTCTAGGCTTTGGCAATGACGTGAGGACCCGGGAAGAACACAGGAAGCCAGGGGGCTTATGAAGCCCTCCAGCATCCACCCGCCCCCACCTTTCCTTCCTCCTTTCTGACCTCCAGTATTTTCCACTAAGAGTCCACAAAATACCAGCTACACTCCCTAACTTAGAACCTTAGCTTGGCATTCTTTCTTGCTGAAATGGTCCTAAAACCTGGCTTTTCTTTTCTCAGCCAGCTAACATCTCATCCTTGGTGAGCTCTTTTGCATCCGAACTTCTGAAGCAGCAGTCACGCAGCTCTGACATGCTACCTCCTGTCACCCCAGCTAAGACTGTAACCTCCTAAAGGCAGAGCCTTTCTCCTAGTCACGAGCTCCCTGCAATCTCCCCGAGTTAATGCGCGTTCACCCACATGCCGCAGCACTTAGGAGGCGCCCGTGTGGACTAATCCCGCATCACCTCCCCGTTGTTTTTCACTGGCAGGAGTAAGAATCAAAGGAGTCATCTTGACAGGACAGGTAAACAGTCTTCAAAGAACTTACAATATACAGCCCAGCCTCTGGCCTGTTCCTGGGTAGCCCTCAATGTAAAAATGGTTTTTATATTTTTTAAGGGGAGGACAGAAAGGGAATAGAAGAATGAAAAGAAAAGAGACAAAAAAAGAGGCAGAGACCAATGAGGCCAGCAAAACCTAAAATATTTACTAACTGGCCCTTGACAGAAAATCTCTGCTGAACTGGGCTCCATTTTAAGCTGGAATGCTGGAACTTTACTATGTATTTTTTAACATACTAAATTTCTGAAATAAAAGACTTCAATTGTTGGCCTGACAGGAGCAGCCTTCCCCACTTCCCCAATATCCACCCCCGACCGGCCACCTTACAAGTCTCCACTACTTTCATCTCTAAGCCAGCAACTCCATGGAAGATTGAGTCATGCAAGTACCTGTTCTGCTTTTTCTGCCTCAGCCTTGAGAACCGGCTCCTCCACTTCTTCATCGTATACACGCTAAACATGGAAGCAAGTTCATTTTTAAATGGTTAAAACATCATTTGGAATAAATCACAATGAAAGAACTCAATATACAATAAAAAGGATTAATTCAATATACAATAAACACAAGGAAAAAATTATCATTAAATGGCTGAAGCTACTAGTCAAGGACAAAAAAGCAAAGATCAATTCACCAAAACTAAACTTTAAAAAAAGATACAATTGACTAGCCGACTGAAACCAAGCTCAATGTCATTGTTGACCAGAGTCACAAAAACCGTAAGATGCCAGTTTTCACACCTTTTTGCTTAACCTAACACTTAGTGTTGACGGGGCAATGATACAGGTAACTCAAATGTGAGGCTATTGAGAATGTCAACCGGCAGACATATCTACTAGGTAACATGAGCTTTAACATTTTGAGCAATAGAAATGGCAAAGGTAAAAGTTATTATCATTCTGTTGCTTCAAATAGCTGGTCAATTTTATTGTCCTATTTATATGAAAACAGACAAGCCATGCCACCCACAAATTGTTTACCTGCAGGCTAGGAATTTGACTGGCCCATGGGCATGTACACAAAGGCCTCTTCCCCAAAACAGAGCCATGACTCCAGCAACTCACTGTGATTTCCTCTATTTTTACAGTATTTATCCTATATAATAAAAGGATAATATGCAAATTGACCCTAACAGCGGAACGACCTGTCGCTATGATGCGCACAGACCACCAGAGGGCAGACACTCAACACAGGAGCTGCCCTCTGGTGGTCAGTATGCTCCCACAGGGGTAGAGCCGCTCAGCCAGAAGCTGGACTCATGGCTGGCGAGCGCAGAGGCAGTGGCGGGAGCCTCTCCTGCCTACACTGGAGGCGGGCGGTAAGGAGTAAGGGGTCCCGGACTGCAAGAGGGATGTCTGATTGCTGGCTTAGGCCCGATCCCCAGGGCCTGTGAGAGGGCGTAGGCAAGGCTGAAGGATCCCTCCCTCCCCTCCCCAGTGCATTAATTTCATGCACCGGGCCTCTAGTTGTCTTATAAACTCCCAAAGTAAAACAAGCTGTTACAAGCAGTGGGGTGATGAAAATGTGCTGGAATTAGATACTGGTAATAGTTACAAAACTTTGTCAATGTACCAAAACCTACTGACTTGCACACTTACTAAAAAAGTGAATTTTATGGAATGTGAATTGTATCTCAATTAAAATTAAAACATCAATATACAGATACATGGAGCCCAGCCGGTGTGGCTCAATGGTTGAGTGTTAACCTATGAACCAGGAGGTCACGGTTCAATTTGCAGTCAGGGGACATGCCAGGTTGTGGGCTCAATCCCCAGTAGGGGTTGTAAGAGGCAGCCAATCAATGGTTCTCTTTGATTATTGATGTTTCTCTTTCTCTTCCTCTCTGAAATTAATAAAATTATATAAATAAATAAATATGGAAAAGAGATATATTTAAAAATATTTTCTTCCCTACCTCCAACCTACCCCTTGGAATAACCAGTTTAAATGTGGTGCTATTCTGTTTCCTGTGGCTCCTAAACAAATGCAGACAGACATTCAAACATATTCAGAGTCCTCCCATCCTTCCTTGTTTTAAATAAGCATCCACTCGTACTATACTTAGTTCTCTGCCCCACTTTTTCACTTAATGTTCCCATAAGCCACTTTCTGGGTCAATGCACATACATTTGACTCAATCTTCGTAATATCTGCATAATATTCTATGGTATGAACTCAACCACAATTCGACAGCTCCCTATAGGTGAACATAAAGGAGATTTCCAGTTTTTGGCCTTGTAAACAAACTGCTATAAACATATGCACACATATATTCTTAGTCCCTGGCCCTTTTATTTCTATAGGTTTTCCAAAATAGGGTTGCCAAGTCCAAGTACAAAATTGTTTTTTAATCTTAGCAGCTCCTTCCAAAGTACTATCCACAAATCTGTGACTACTCACACTATCACCAATAATATATTCAAGTGCTCATTTCCCAACCCTTTTCCAGCAGATGTTATCTGTCTTTTTAAGATATCTGCCAAGCCTGGCTGGTGCGGCTTAGTGGATGAGTGTCCACCTAGGAACCAAGAGGTCACGGTTCCATTCCCAGGGCTCGATCCTAAGTAGCAGGCCTGCAGGAGGCAGCCAACTGATGATGTTTCTATCTCTCTATCCCTCTCCCTTCCTCTCTCTAAAATCAGTAAGAAGATATTAAAAGAAAAAAGATATCTGCCAATCTGATAAGACGTTGTTTTTAAATGTCCAGATCAATTCTCAAACATCAAATTTGTAATTCTAAGCAACTCCAATCAAAATACTAATAGGATTTTCTGTGGAACTTAGCAAGGTAATTCTCAAGTTCACATAGGAGAGTAAAAAGCCAAGGATAACCATGAAAATTCTGAATCAAAAAAAGCCATGGGGCCCTAGCCAGTTTGGCTCAGTGGATAGAGCGTCAGCCTGTGGACCAAAGGGTCCGGGGTTCAATTCTGGTCAAGGGCACGTACCTTGGTTGCAGGCTCCTCCCTGGCCCAGGCCCTGGTCAGGGCATATGCAGAAGGAAACCAATCGATGTGTTTCTCTCACATCGATATTTCTCTCGGTCTTTCCCTCTCTCTTCCACTCTCTCTAAAAATCAATGGAAAAATATCCTCGGGTGAGGATAAAAAAAAACAAAAAGAAGTCCTGGGGACTTGCCCTATTAAGACATTAGAAATCTATGGTATTTAAGATTGTGATACTAGCATATAGCAGATAAACGTAATAAAAGACAGAGGCCAGAATTACATGTAAGCCTGATTTTATTTTCACATAAACACATATGCACACACATGCATTAATAGACATAAATCAGTGAGGTCAACCACATAGAAAAAAAACAAGATGAGATCCCTACCTCATACTACACGTATGCATTCATACACATTCACACATATGTATTTTCCACGTAAGAACGAAAGGCAGAGATACAAAAGCCCTCACCTAAAATGTTTAAAGTTAAGGGAAAAAATGGGAAGTTGGTGCATTTGAATCAAATATGGAAAAATATTAAAATCTGTTAATGCAGGATGGTGCATATAGTTAGCATCTGTGGTTATCTGTTCTTTTCTAGGCATATGAAGCACTTCACTAAAAATTTTGATTTTGAAGGCTTATGAAATAAATTATGACCTATTGTTCTAGAATAAGAAAAATAAAGTTCACACAAGCCCTACAGATGTGTTAAAATGCTTATAATAAATTAAAATTAAGAAAAATGAAGTTTGCAAACACACACACACACACACACACACACACACACACGAACAGGGTAATCTAGAAAAGGTTAGAGTTAAAAATAAAAAGAGTAGAAAGAAATATGCCAAATGTTCCATGGTTTGTTCATTGGAGTGGCAAAATTATAGTTGATTTTTTAAAATTTTTTACACTTTAGTATTTTTTATTTATGCCAACCTCTTCTACAATAAGTGTTCTTTACTTTTATAACAAGAAAGAAGCCGAAACCAGTTTGGCTCAGTGGATAGAGCGTCGGCCTGCGGACTGAAGGGTCCCGGGTTCGATTCCGGTCAAGGGCATGTACCTGGGTTGCGGGCACATCCCCAGTGGGAGATGTGCAGGAGGCAGCTGGTCGATGTTTCTCTCTCATCGATGTTTCTAACTCTCTATCTCTCTCCCTTCCTCTCTGTAAAAAAATCAATAAAATATATTTTTTAAAAAAAAAACAAGAAAGAAAAGAAAACTTAAAGCCCAATGTCTGTATGGGAAATGAATTTGGGATATATACCAAATGCTGAGCGGCTCTGCTCTAGCTGACAAAGTTGCAGATGCTTCTTCAGTTTCCATATCCTTTTTCTAATTGTTCTATAAAGAAAATTGGGAAGTAATTTTCACATACCAAAAAAAAAAAATTAATTTTTGAAACTGACTTTTTAAAGAGGAAGGGAGAGAGAAAGAGAGAGAAACATCTATCTGTTGCCTCCCGTACTTGACAACCTGGGTATGTGTCCTGACCAAGACTCAAACCCGCCACCTTCTGGTGTACTGGACAACACTCCAATCAACTGAGCCACACCAGCCCCGGCAAGTAAGTAATTCTTAAAATTGAGACTTTAAGACATGGCAGCTTCAGAATTCAAATCGTGAGAACATCTTCCCTAAAAGGTTGAGGTTCATGCTGAAGTCTGAACAGCACCATCATCCTACCTTTTTCTTGCCTGTCATTAAAAGCTACCTCCCAAGACATCAACAGCCTCAGCGGAAAGCCAAACATGACATCTCAGAAACCAACCAGCAAATACATAAAACCCATGGGAAATTTTAGAGTAACCAAGACTGTGCACCTTTGGTCACTAGACACATCAGATAACCAATGCTACCTTCCTTCATCCTACCAGGTGGAGCTCACAGGTTCACGTGTGTCTTGATCATTTTCAAATCAGTTAGTCAGGCCCAGATTTTAAAATATCTTGGGTATTTTCACTCAAAGGACCTTTTCCTCATATGGGGAGAAGGTAAAAGGTGAAGATGGGGAACTGGAGAAAAGGGGACCAGGGGCAGGGGATTTCTGAACAGGCTATACACAGTGCCGGTCCTTTTCATGATGTGTTCTCTCATTCACTTACTTAAATATTCCCTGAGTCTCTACATATCAGGTCTGTGCTAGGCCCAAGGAATAAAACATTCTGCAAAAATATGGGGCTTGATTCAGTAGAGGAACTGCATATCAATAAATGTAAAATTGGAGAAACCAAGATGGCGGCATAGGTAAACACCTGAAATTGCTGCCTCGCACAACAACTTCAAAAATACAACTAAAAGACAGAACAGACATCATCCAGAACCACAGGAAGGCTGGCTGAGTGGAAATTCTACAACTAGAAGGAAAGAGAAAAGCACACTGAGACTCAGAGGAGCTGCGGAAATAAAGTGCAGAGGTACGGAAGTGCATGCGGAAAGGGCTGGCAACTGAGGACACGATTGTCTTTTTCAATCGGGAGGGAGTCTCAAGCTCCAGACTGCTCTGAACTCCAGTTCTGGGCGAGTCTCTGGGGACCCAGACTCATACGGAGAGAAACTGGACTGTCTGGCAGCGGGCGGAACTCGAGGGCAGCTTTCTCTCAGAGGTGCTTGCAGCGATTACCGATTACCGTGGGACACTGAGACCCAGGGCCTCTTAGGGCAGGACTGAGGATCAGCCATAGCTGTTTGCTCTGCCCTGTTGATCCCCTGAGACCCCACCCCACCCAAGCTGCGCACAGAGGCTTTTGCATATGAATGGCCTGGCCCTTTGCAATCTAAAATTACCTAACAAACTGCAGCTGGGTCAGAGAGACCCAGAACATCCAAAAGAAGGCCCAAGGCCCCCAGCAGCTTGCATTGCTTCACAGCTGGGCCTCATCTGGGCACCTCCAAATCCCAAACAAAGAGGAGGAATCTGCAGATCTCTCCATAGCTCCTGCTGGGTAGCCTCAGGCAGAGGCTAAATTAGCACCTCCTTAGAGATCCAAGAGCCAGTGTACCCAGTGGTCAGAGTGGGACCATCCAGATTACAACTCCTCAGATCCAAAAGGGACACACTCAGGGGGCAGACTCAGTGAGCACCAAAGCTCCACTGAAGCAAATCTTGCCCCATAAGAGTGTCTCTAGCACAGAAGTTCTCCCACCATAGACACAGCTGATTCTCACAGCCAATTGGCCTGGAGGTCAATTCCTCCCAGTGATACCAACTACAATCAAGGCTTTAACTACAACAAGACTGTGCACACAGCCCACAAAGGGGTGCACCAAGAGTGTTCACCTCAGGTCATTGGGGAGGCTGAGCCACTGGGCCCTATAGGACACCTACCACACAAAGCCACCCTATCAACACAGGGAAGCAGCCAAATTGCGTAGACAAAGAAACAGGTCACAAATGACAGAAATGGAGGAAAGCAAACTACTGGATATAGAGTTCAAAACCACACTTATAAGGTTTTTCAAGAATTTTCTAGAAACCGCCAATAAATTTAGTGAGACCCTCAATAAATCTAGTGAGACCCTCAAGGATATGAAAAAGGATCAACTAGAAATTAAGCATACACTAACTGAAATAAAGAATATTATACAGACTCCCAATAGCAGACTAGAGGATCGCAAGAATCAAGTCAAAGATTTGAAGTACAAAGAAGCAAAAAACACCCAACCGGAAAAACAAAAAGAAAAAAGAATCCAAAAATATGAAGATAGTGTAAGGAGCCTCTGGGACAACTTCAAGCGTACCAACATCCGAATTATAGGGGTGCCAGAAGAAGAGAGAGAGCAGATATTGAAAACCTATTTGAAGAAATAATGACAGAAAACTTCCCCTACCTGGTGAAAGAAATAGACTTACAAGTCCAGGAAGCGCAGAGAACCCCAAACAAAAGGAATCCAAAGAGGACCACACCAAGACACATAATAATTAAAATGCTAAGAGCAAAAGACACAGAGAGAATCTTAAAAGCAGCAAGAGAAAAACAGTTAGTTACCTACAAGGGAGTACCCATAAGATTGTCAGCTGATTTCTCAACACAAACTATGCAGGCCAGAAGGGAGTGGCAAGAAATATTCAAAGTGATGAATAGCAAGAATCTACAACCAAGATTACTTTACCCAGCGAAGCTATCATTCAGAATTGAAGGTCAGATAAAGAGTTTCACAGATAAGAAAAAGCTAAAAGAGTTCATCACCACCAAACCAGTATTATATGAAATGCTGAAAGTTATTCAAGAAGAGGAAGAAAAAGGTAAAGATAAAAAGTATGAACAAGTACATATCTATCAACAAGTGAATCTAAAAATCAAGTGAATAAAAAATCTGATGAACAGAATAAACTGGTGAATATAATAGAATCAGGGGCATAGAAAGGGAGTGGACTGACAATTCTCAGGGGGAAAGGCGTGTGGGGGGTGCAGGAAGAGACTGGACAAAAATCGTACGCCTATGGATGAGGACAGTGGGGGCGGTAAGGTCAGAGAGTGGGGTGGGAACTGGGTGGAGGGGAGCTATGGGGGGGGGGGAAGAGGAACAACTGTAATAATCTGACCAATAAAGATTTAATTTTAAAAAAATAAAATAAAATAAATGTAAAATTATAATCTTGGGAAATGCTACTAAAGAAGTCATTAACTTACCCCACACCCCCCCAAAAAAGAAGTTATTAACTAGGTCAATTAATGTTTCAGAACATAATTCCCAAATTAACAAACTAATAATGAAGAATCACGTTCCTTTCTGGTAACACTGAAGCACTGTTAATTAGCACTTCTCCTCCTTCAGAGTCGTCCCTGGAGCCTGTACTAACAGTACTGATTTCTCTTGCCCTACAAAGGCCTGAATGCTCCTCAGTTTCACTAATTCATAATGCAGTTTGCAACCTTGTCCGTGCCAAAGGTTAATTACTAAAACCCAGAACTGACTTTGAATATCTTTCTAATAAAGCATGAAACCAAATGGCACCATCACGCAAACTAGAGTTATGTCAGGATTTGAGGAAACCATATAAAGAGCCAAATCACTGCCAAATATATTATCAGCCTATAGATACTTTTAGCCATACTCTCAACATCATGCTCTGCCATGAATGGAAAGAGCAGGTATCACACGCAGTTAAAGTTGGCAGTGGCAACAGGCACATCCAGAGACAAATTCTGGCTGCAGGCTGAAACGGGAAGACATAAAGAACTAAGGGCGATGGACAGATGGATGGGAAACAGGGAATCCAAGAAGTGAACAGTAATGCAGAACTATTACACACACACAAAAAAAAACACCTTCAAAAACAAAAACCTAGCACTTAACAGAAACTCAATAAATATACAGATAAAATTACACCTGGTGTACAGCTCAGTAATCTGTTTAGGGTTGATTCTGTGTCATAGGTTCAGCAATCATTAATAAAATGTTAGTTGAAAATATTCCAACTGGACACATGCACGCCTTTAATATAATTTATCTGAACATAATGGAACATTCTATAACTATAGTCACATGCTGGTGGCCCAGACAATCAGACCAGGTGCATGGCCCTCTCTACAGAATATGCCAAAACAAGGCTTGAGTGCCACACAATTCAGCACAACTGCGGACCACTCTCAAAACTAAAAAAGGATGAAAAGGCTACAATATGAGGAAATTTTATAATTACATTTTTTAAAGGCTTAAAAAGATGTATTAATTTTTAAAAAAGACATTAGTCCTAGAGAAAGAAGCTTAAAGTACCAAGAACCACCACTTGCCTCAAAATTTAGGAAATAATAGACCTCTTGCCACTCCAGAAAGCATTAGCATTTAGAAAGAAGTCTGACGCAGCTAAGCAACTCACATTCTCAATGAACTGGGTGTTAGACAGCATAAGGAAGTCATTGAAGACGTTATGCAGGCGACAGTCTGTGGCTTTAGTTTCCCGAATTAGTCCGTCCACTTGTTTCTTGATTTCATGGGTCCTAGAGATAGTCTGCTGTGAAAATTCCTGTAGAAACTGTAGTAACTATTCAAAAAATAAACGTACAGAAGTGTCAATATTATATGCATCTACTTTTTGTCTCAAAATAAAAAACCTATTCCCTTTCACCCTTGTGTGCGCGCTGGCATGTACAAGAGAGGCCGGTTTTGTCCCGGCCAAGGCCAAGTGGAAGCGAAAAGCACTTAGAAAGCTCACCAAACCCCTGGCAAGCGGGCAGTGGGCACGTGCTGTTTCTTTTCTGTAGGAATTTTAAAGTCCTCTTTGGTTGTCATTCTACAGGGGTCACGGAAAAAGGGTAAAATAACCAATCGCTACTTTTTCCTCTGCGACTCTGGAGTCAGTTCTGAGCCTGAAGAACCAACCACTCAAGGATGACCTGGTACTGGCCTGCCCAGCGCCCGGTCCGGTCCGGCCCAGCAAGGAGCCGGCGCACCGGTGCCACCGCCGTCCCGGGTCAGGGCGGGCATCCGCCCCTTCAGCAGGAGAAGCCGGGCCGGCCACGTCCGAGGGGCAGCACCAAGGGCTAGGCCCACTGCCCGCCCTCTCTTGACGCCTGGGCCCTGCCGGGGTGGGTTTCCGAGCGCGAGAGGCATGGGGTTAAGACCGGCGGCAGCGGGACGGACTGGGTGCAGGGAGAAGCGGGGTCCAGCCCTCCCGCTCGCGGGCCGGGCGTCCCTCCATACGGCCGCCTACCCTGCGGTCCCTCCCGGCCGCCCCGGGGCCCGCCTCTAACGCGCGCGTCGGCCGCCAGCGACCAGGTCTG